GAACATGTTACCTAATTGATCATAATATCTAAAATAATTTCTTATATTTTCCGGTATGTTCAATATTATCCCTAATTCTTTTTCGCAAAAAAATATAGAAATCTATAAACTTGAATTCATGTTGGCTAGCTACGCTCTAAGTTAACTGTGGTTCTGCATGTTCTGGGTAATGACTGCTTTTTTTGTGGTTTGTTTTCAAACTTTCACTCTATGCATTAGCTTTACTAGGGGCGAGGACCTCAGGTGCTCCTTTGTGCATTGTTTCAGGCAAAATGTTGCACCTGCAGAGAACCTCCTTTGTGCATTGATTCAGGCAAAATGTTGCACCTGCAGAGGATCATCGACATTTTGAAACTAGCTTGATAGGTTTTTCACACGAAAGAATAAAAAGTCCTTGGTAGTTTTCGAATTCATAGCAGGTCAATTCAAGTGATTTGAATTCAGTAAACATAAACAGCTCGACCACGGTCGGACACACCTGTCGGATTTGTTTTTTTAACAAAAATTGTTAACGTCAGCTGTACAAATAAGCAGCTTTTTTATTAACTTCTGGCGTGAAGTTTTAAGATTATAAATATTTGAATTAATTATAAAGAGAACAACATTTAAATTTCTTATTGCGGCATGACTAGTAGAGAAATTTTCAATGTAAACAGGGGGTAATCCTCTGTAAAGTCATTTTCTGAAAACCTTTGTTTAAGTTTTCTCAAATAAAAATCACACTTTGTTATGAAGGTATGTTAAGATGCCATGTCTCTAGTCTATTGAAAATTCGATGCGATAATCTGACCTAAATTTTCTGTTCAATATTGTGAAAACTTCTTCAATACTGTTGAAAGATCATGTCTGCCTATATCTGTATCAAATTTATCGGCGTAAAATACCTTTGCAAAACGGACACCTTCTTTACAAAATAATCTGTAGTTGTATCATAATTATGTAACTCGATTTTGAAAATTTAAGGTTTTTAATGGAGAAGAATGATACAAATATAGAAAATACATTCCGTAGACCTTTCCTCATCGGCGATAAAGAAATGCAATACGACAAAATTAGAGGTAAAGTTCCGCGGCGCTGAACATAAAATGACTAAACGGAACGCATAACCTACTTGTAAAAATATCTTGTAGCTTAACCATTTATAATATAATTTTAAAAATTCAATGTTCAGTTTCAAATAATAAAGCTCATCTGTTCTCACCGATTATTATAAGAAAATGATTACAATAAAATCGGCACGTAAAAGACATAAGTAATAACTGAATTGACGAAAACTATTGCTAATTACAAGTAACAAAGGTAGGCATGCAATTTGCGCATAGCTCTCTTCCGATAGCAAGAGACCTTTTCAAAATTTGTAATTCTTTCTCTTTTTAAAAAAAACAAAAACAAGGTCATTCCTGATTAATACTAGTACAGGGTCCAGGAGAGGTTACACTGGAATATTGATTTTTGTATCAAAAATAGTAATCACTCCCATTTCGAACTCACGGGAACAATTTTAGAAGCATGCTAAGGCAACACTGGAACACGTTGACATATGGGAGTGCGATCACGTGTTTCAATGTTTATTGCATTTGATACAGCTTTTTGGAATTTGTACATGCTTATGATGGGTACTTAAATGCGACCGAAAAACGCAGCCTTAATAGAATTGTATTACATTTCCATTTTTATGGAACCAATGAGTGACCTCTGCTTTTGAATTAAGTTGTAAACAAGAAATGTTGTTGGACGTTATAAACATACCTAGCACATAATTTAAACAGTTCAAAACCAATATGCAGCCTGCAATGAAAATACAACTGCGTCGTATCATATTTTATTTTCAACTGCGTCGTATCATTTCGTAAAATCATTATTTTCTTGGAAAATAAACACCTCTTTTTAATGAAAATTAAGTAAATGATGCAAAATCATGTTTTGAAGTTTATGGTGAACTCTGAAAACGAGTATATAATTTATTTGAAGGAAAAAACGATAGATAAAGCAATATGAACTGCGTCGTATCCACACAATTTCATAAAAATTCTGCTCCGCTTCGAGTTGCAAGTTCGCTATAACTTTTGTTTTACAAAATAGTTGTCTAAGCAACATATACCGAACGAAGCGGAAAATAGTGTAGCGTGTTAATAGATATATCTGGTTTTCAGTCATTTCCAACAAAAAGAGTTATAAACAAAAACATACATTTTTCGTTCCAAGATGGCGGCGTTTGTTTACATTTTGTAGGATACGACGCAGTTTTGATTCCCAGCCCTGCCTTTATCATGTCTGAGTTTAACTCGGATTTGGAAAACGACCAGTTACATCCGGATACATCCAGTTATAAATCAAAGCACAGAAGGCGCTGAATTTGTTTGGGTCTCAGGATGTAAGAAAGGTGCAGGTTGTGAGATTATATGTATAGTGCCACCAATGCTTTCCAGCGTTTTAATTGTAGTAAATTGGCTATAAGACTTATTGCAACACTGATATGCAATCCAATGTTTATTTGACTTAAACAATTTGAAAAAAAATGAGTTGCCTTTACTGGGATTTGAACTCCAGACCTCTCGCGCGAAAACCCTTCAGCCACGGTAAATTTATATGTGAACAGCCTTAAGAAAACCATATTATTCTAAATTTGGGCTTGTAACGACTTTAACTGTTGTTTATATTTATAAAGAATCAAAGGGATGCAAGTTCTGTGGTATTTTCTGATCTTTGCAATCTTAATCGTACTGTATATCTGTATGCATTTTCCTGTATATAAGTTTATTTTTATGTATTATAATTCATTTTGCAAGGCACCAAAGTTTGATACATACGAAATTCTGCATAACTAGAGATGCATCAAAAAATCATTTATGTTCATTTTTTTACGACAGTCACACTTTATCCTTGCATATCATGGCTACTTCCTTAACAAAGACACTTAAAAAAGAATTAAAAAAAAAAGTTTCCTCGACTTGGATTTGAACTCCAGACCTCTCACTCCTGAAGCGAGCGCGTTACCCCTGCACCACGGAGAAGTTATAAAATAATATCTGAATAACATCAAGTCATTCTATATTTAGAACTTCCATTGCATTTCGGGTTTGTTATCCTTATTAATTTCGAGGTATTTTGTTCAGGATAAACCTGTTGTTTAAAATTGAAGTAAATAATTTAGCGAAAATCTTCTCGCCCAAACAGTCCGACATGTAGAATCTATATATTCCACTACTCGGTTTGTGTAGTATTCGGTAAATCGACATCGCTAAAAATAGTATTTTCATTGATAAAATCATATTCATCCGCGTAATTTGTGATTGTGCATTTATTGACAATTCTATTAGCCAACGCTATTTTTAAACTTTGAATGCGTTGTTATTTGTTGGATACTTGTAACAAAATAAAAATATTTCTTTCTTTTAAATCGCTAGTTTTAAGCTGTTTTGAGAACTACTTGTTGTTAGGTTTGTTGTGAACTTCTGTGTCAGAGATTGAATGTCCGCTTTGTATTTGCTTAATTTCGATCAGAAAATACAATTAAAACAATATTAGAAATCTTCGACCATTCGGGAATTATTTTGCTTGAAAATTAATTCGCCTGTCTTTGACCATCTTTACGCAGTGATCTCCCCTGAATTTTTCGGCGTTAGTGTACATATAAAGGGAAGTAACCGCTTCAAAAAAGTGGACTACTTTCGGCGTTTGCAATTAACAACATTAGACTCTGAAATTTCGCTACCATTATTTGTTTGGTCTGACGACCCAAACAAATAAAAACAAATTTTCTGTCTTAAGAATCAAAAGCTTTTAAAGTTCATGTTCCATCCTTTAACTCATATTTCCTTTAGTGATATTATAAAATTAATTGATTTTTTTTGTATAAAATTTTACGTATAAATGGCGTTTGTATTAAAAAGGGGAGTAACTCTATCGAAACGGTCGGTTATTTGAGTCCACAAATGAGCACATTTTCCATTAGTAATTCTAATATTTGTAAAACATTACAAATGTATCATTTTGATATTTCTTATGAAATCCTTATTGAAATAATGTTCGTAAAAGGGATATGGAATATAATTGTACCAAAAATGAAAATGTTCAGGGTAGAATTTTACTTCGACACTGTTATGTACAGGGAAAATCGCGGAAATTTCATCAGCATGCAATAATATGTTCTAATTGATTACCCTTTTCCGACTATGGCGATATAAGTTAGTACTCACCATATATTATAAGTATTTTTTTGTTGGCTAAACGTCATTTAAAGGAAAATATTGTGATTTTCAACAGCGATTTTTCACACATGTGAAGCAGTCACGTGACCAATTGAGGGGCAACCGGCAAGCTATTTGAAAACTGTTATTTTTCTGTTAGTTTGTTTGTTATAACACAGATATACATATTAAACTCCATGGTTATAACCAGTTGCATATTATATGCCTTGGTTTAATAAAAACTGAAACTGAAAGACCCTGATGTATAGAAATGACTAGAAAAAATTCTAACAGTTTTTCCAACAAAACTTCTTCTTCATTTGAATAAATATGACTACTTAATACAATAAACAAAATCGAAATGAATTACAGCCAGTCTGAATTACATATTACTAATATATAAAACAAAAATATACACTGTGGATGAGTTATTCGCACTATCGCCCCAGGTGTGTTTAATCTGATAATCCAAAAACACGAACACAAAATGCGAGGTAGATGCATATGGCACTTTCGCATCGCAATTTCAAATTGTTCACCTTTTTTCCGTATCAGTGTAGATCTATTGTTCTTCCGAAATAATTTTAGTAATACTGTAATACATGTTTTTTTTAAAACATCTTCAACTGAAAAATAAATGCAAACACATGTACAAATATTCTAAATAAAATATGTTTAAACCAAATGCAAACATTCTAAGCATAAATTGATGCAATGGAACGTAATAACGTAAGGGGAGTATCTCATTTATTATCATATAATTTTGTATTTCACAAGAGTACTTCAGCAGTGGTATGCTGATCTTGGAAGGAATATTTGAACCTTTTCAAATGGTTGGATTTTCAGGCCTTTTTTGTATAAATTAAGATGGCATTAAATTTTCTAATTTCAGAGGAGAAGAGGAAGGACCATGATTCCGAATGTGTTGATCGCTATGTTAAGTCACGTGCTATGTCCTCTAGAAGCTCTGATTCTCGTCTGTCATATATTGATGAGCAGACGAACAGTAAAGCGGTTAAAGATTATATAAGAAACCGCGGGAAAAAGCGTCCACCTTTAGCAGAAGAGATAAAACGTAGCCAGAGTACAGACAGACCTTTAGGAGCTCGTTCTGATAGCGTTCTGACCACCAGAAGTCTACCGACGCCGGCGACACTACGAACAGTGGAAGAGGTATAGTTGCAAATTCATGAGATCTAAATAAATATCAATTTAGGCAAATATAAAAGGCGGTAAGGCAAACGGCTTATGAAAAATGGCCGCCATTTCAGATACTGTAGGGTTACTGTTTCAGTTAAGACTACTAACACGTAAATTTATGTTTATAATTTATGATGAAAGTAGCATTACATAGCAGATACGACTAAAATCTAGATTTTTCTGCTCTGTAGAATTTTTTTTCCATTTTCTTTTTCAAAATCATGGTCAATACTTGACCGTGTTGCATTTTTACCTATTATAATACTGGGAATTGTTGTCACACACCTCATTTAGTTAATCTGATGTATCCCTTTTCAGCCTAATTTGTGTGTCAACAAGGATTAATTTTTACAGATATTATCCCATTTTCTAAAGATGTTTTTATTTTTTACAAAAACATATGATTCCCCTGAAAATGTCGGTTTTAGGCTTATGTAGTTAATTTTTTTGTGATGTTAATTTGGCCTTTGAAATTTGAGAATCTTATCTAGGACAAAATAAATACAATGTAGCTATTTAGTACGAATCATTCTTTATACTGTATAAGCATAAGTAGTTACTCGTTTGATAGATTTTACATCCTCGACAAAAGTTAGATTAATTACGCATCGCCGAACTGGTCTTGTAACATATTATTTATCAATTAAAAATAGTCTCATGAAACATTTAAAATATCTATAAATAATGATATGTTCGATTTAATACATAATGATTTGTCAAGTTCCATGTTAAAATTAACTATATGTTTACAGGAAAAAGACGAAGTCATGAAAAATTTGTCGTCTGCAAATCGCAAGAACGAAGTGGAGCGCGAGCGCCAAGCAGAACTTATTGCACAACGAAGAGAAAAACGAATGCAGCAAAAGAAAACGACAGAAGAGAAAGCACTAGAATTACTAGAAAAGGCAGTGGCTATGGATAAAATGTAAGTGAGATGCGCATGCTCTATTCTTATATTTGACAAATTCCCGTCTGCCAAAATATTTGTCATTGGACGACAAATTGGGGTAGAGATAGCGATTCGTCTTTTTTCAGAATATCTACATTTTGTGTTGCTTTGGTAAAATATTTCGAGGTACTTCATATCAGTGCAGTTGTAAATTTCTTATTCTTCGGGATCAGTTGATTTCAATCCAATCTGCAATTCTCACTTCATTTTACTGCTAGCAGAGAGCTCCTCTTTTTATTAGACATCTGTGATTAAAAGTTCGGTAACTCTTACCTTCTTCGTCAACCTGTCTCAAAGACATGTAGTGTCTTTCCTCATAAGACCTGTCTTGAGTATTTTTACATTTTATGTATACTTCCAACAACTAATCAAATTGATTAGAATAATCGCGCGTGTAAAAACCTTATCATTAACTTTACTACAGTATTGGAGCGTAACCTGGTTGTTTATGCATGTACAATAAAAATATTTATTAAAATTCTTCCATGTTTGGCTACAAAGAATGGTATACGAGTTTTGACAATTCGAGCGAAAAATGTTATATAACCAAAATTAATTTAGCACATTCTATATTATCAGCAACCATAACAATCTAAATCACCGGGGACGCTGAGGGAAAGCTTATCTTCATACTTTTGTTTGATTTCCAGATATAAAGTTGAAATAGTTGAAATTGTGTGTATATTTTCTAAAATATTATCTTATTCAGGTTACAAGACCAAAAGAAAGAGCAAGACCAGAAGTTGAAGGAGCGTCTAGAAGACATGAAGAGGAAACGCGCAGAATCGAGAATAGGAACGCCCCCTGTCGTAGCAGACGACACATCACGTGATAAAAAGGATCGTCAAAGTAGAACAGAACAGAAAGAGAGAAAGAGCAATGAAGACAGATCAGATAAACCAAAATCTGATAAAAGTGAAAAATATGACCAAAAAATCACCTCAGACAAAAAAGACAGACGTGAAAAATCTAACAATGGCGAGAACCCGGACAAAAAAGACAAGCGAGATAAAACGAGAAGTGAGGAGAAAAGTAAAGAAGCAAAAGAAAGAGAGAAGAAGGAAGCCGACTACGATTTTACAATTTATTGATCAATCGAAGGTGCCCCGTATATCTGATATTTTAATGTTTATTTTACAGAACATATGGAAACAGGGTATGTAAGAACTGATTGATTGTAGATCACAAAATGACCTTGACCTAGTTGTATAAATGGTCTGAAATGGTACTGAATGACATGGTCTTTACGCGTGAAGACTAAGAGGAACCAGTAAATATAGTATAAGGATTGGTATATAGTTTCCGGGTTGTTATTGACTGTTTGAAAGTATTAACGTTTTGTGGCACCATTTCGCGTGTAAACATCCCCCTTTTCCATCTTCTTTCATTTTTCACTGTTCACAATATTGTTATTTTCACATAGAAATATCTATATAAATAAAATCTTTGTGTTTTCCTTTCCGTTTCTTGTGTTTTTTTATTCTACAAAGGTCACATCTTCTGTTAGAAAGAATGTGCCGTATCAATTTGTCTGAAAAAAAAATGTACTCGTGAATTTATTGTTCGTCTGTGCGTACATCTGTTTGTGCTGCTTTACTTTTATTATTTCTTATAGTTATTATCCACTCATTTACAAATGAAATAAATCATACAAACATATGGTACTAACTGCCAACATAATAATAGCCATCACGTGATCAAAATATGCAAGAACAGCCCATACACGATTAGTGATAACTAGAAAGTTAAAGAACTACCATGTACATTTTATTTTAGAACTATCCTTTACATTTTATTTTGATAATGGCAAGAACCACCGTTTACATTTTTAGAACTATCCTTTAAAGTTTATTTTAGAATGACAAGAACTATACTATACATTTTATTTTAGAATCACCAATAAGATTCCCAGATTTTAGTTTGTTATTTTAAAATGACCAATAAAAACTCTTCTTATATTCAGCTCTTCCCTGTAAATTTTACAGGAAGTCAAACTGATTTTAGACGGTCCCGGAAAAAAATTGTGTCACATTTTCAAAGATATTCCATATTCCGTAAAAACAATTAAAACACTATTTTTGGGGCAGCAATTGATCAAATATCTTGTTTTAACACACAGCAAGGGAGGCATATATTAGAGAGGAATAGGTTCTATAAACAAAACAAAAAAGCTGAAATTTCATTGTGCAAAAGCCATTTAATACCACGTGTTTGATTTCCGCCATCTTGTTTCAAATGGCAACATCTTGGCGATACACTAGTTTTAACAATATTTTATTCCAACCAAAGATAATATATACATTATAATAGAAAAAGGAGAGAGAAAAGGATTGAGTTGAAAGGTAATAGTTTTTTGTTTTAGAAAAATGCTACCACCCGAGTTTTACATTTTCGTTATTTATCTCAACTAGCTCTATGCTTTGTCTCATAATTGAGTCGCTTTCTTCTGTCTTAATTTCCACCAAAAAAATTATATTATTTACACAAACACTTGTTGGATTCTGTGTGTTATAAAATTGTTTAAATGTATATTTGTATGACTGTGTAAGGCTAAAATAAAGTCTCTGTTCTGTCCTATATTAATTGATAACTAGAGTTATCACTAAAGATGATTAAATACCCCAACAAGCAATTTTAAACTTGTTGAATAATAAGTGGTCCGATAAAAATTAAACTCAACCTATAATGAAGTAATTATGTACAAATAATTATTTCAATTAATTGCAATCCCAACCAGGTTATACTCAACTTGAGTGTAACTTCTCATTCGTAAATCTAGTTATTTTTGTCCGGAAACATTTTTTCTATTTTGAATAGTAGTGACCCTTGACCCCAGGGGGTCCAAATGTTATCCCAACCATGGTTTCCACATAAGTTTGCTAAATACCAAGTTTGGTTACAATATCTCATTTTTAACCAGAGATATAGATAACAAATGCTATCTATGTCTCTGTTTTAACTAATGATATCTTCCGGTAACAATTTTTCTATCTTTAGTAACGATTACATTGACTACAATCCCAATCGTGGTCTTCATATTAGCTTCCTATATACCAAGTTTGATAACAATATCTTATTCAACTATCTTGAAACAATTTTTCTATTTTTAGTAACTGTTCCTTGACCCCAGGGTGTCCAAATGCAATACCAACCTGGGTCTTCATATAATTAATTAATTACAATATAATAAATAAAATATCTAAAGTAATAATGTGTACACAAATATATTATATAGTTAAATATTTATATCTCTGGTCCATATTTCTACATATTAAAGGAAAAAGTGAAAAGCGGTGGCCTAATGGTTAAGGTGTCTGCCTCTCAACCCAGAGATCATGGGCTCGAGCCCTACTCAGTCACGACCATGTTTCTTCATATGACACCAGTACTGGTTGGTTCCAGGTAGCGGACTCGAAAGTGATAAATATAAGTTGCAAGAACTTGTTTCGCAATCGAGCTTAAATAAATTTGTTTAAACCAAAGGAAAAAATGCCGCCAATGCACATGTTATCATAGTAAGCGTAATTCATGTCTTATTGTAAAATGCATACTAATTTACATTACATAAAATTAGAAAAGTCATAAAAATGGTTTCGTGAAGGACATTTATCTGGAGTAACATATTTATTGAAATAAACCAATAATAATTGTATCTAATTTGTTGAATGCACACATTTTAGTTCTTTCACTAATAAGTGTCTTAAGTCAATGCATATCAAAAGCCTTGTTTGTTCACCTATACTCCACCTGTCCTTTGCGGGTGCTCTAAGAAATGACTGACTGGTTCAAGGTCGCAGAAAAAACTTTTTCTCACTTCAGTTGCATAGACTGAGACTGGTTCGACAAATGGTGGCGGGATGTGTTCTTCAATGTCTGTTGCTCCCGATTTATCGATTCTAACTTTTCTCATTCTGCTTGTATACCCATATTCTGCTTCCATCAGCCAACAGGAGTCCTTAAATAAGAAACGGTGCCACTTCTCACTGTGCAACTCGCTTAACGGAGGTAAGTCATAGTGCCACCTATTTTCAACATTTTCCAGGACCTTTGAACGAAACTTGTATTGAAATTTTGTAGTCAACACATTATTTGCAGACGACACAACCAGAAATCTATCTTCTATTTCAAGTATGTCATCGTGCAGCAAATCGAGCTTTCCGTTATACAACAGATTCTGAAATTTCGGTTTACCACCATTATCAAGTGGGTTTAAGTCAACAATTATGGTATAGTCGTTGCCATGTCCTTGTGAAGAAAGGATAAGTAATTCATTTGATACAGAGCTGAGTTTGGCTTTCATTTCAGCGACCTGGCTATGGAGGGTGAATCCGTTCATTGGCAAATCTTTAATCGAAAATATTTGATGTAACTGAGGAATTTTGAAGTCAAATGTATAGCCGCGAAATTCTATGCCATGTTGGTCAAAATTATAATTTCTTGTAACCAGATAAGTGACACCATTTTTACCGCATACAATTTGGTGGGTTTTGTAGTTTGTCACGATATTGTCAATATTGAAAGATGTCCAAACTTTATTTTTCAAATCGAACCTCACGAGTTTAGATCTTTTACTGATGTCACAGAACAATACTTCATTTCCGGTAACCTCAATGTCACAGAAAATATTTACTGGAAATTTTTTAACTTTGCGCATTTCTATGTTAGGAGTATAAGGGCGGCCGTCTACTTGGCTTAAGTACTGACCTTCTTCGAAAGTACCAATGTGGAACCATACCTTTGCATCCGGCTGGTAAACACATATGTCAAACAGTTCGTATGACCCTGAAGACCCTGTGCAGGAATTTATGCTCGGCATATAAAAGGAACAATTGGAACCTGTTCTGTCTTCAGTCAAATAACGATGTACAGAAACTCTCTTAGAAACTGTAAATATTCCCACGCATGTATCGCACGAATGTATGCCCATTTGCAAAAAGACTGGCTCTTTGTTTCGCAGGAAGTTGGTGAAAAGTTCTTGAAAACTTTGCAACAGTTCCGGATCACACAACTTCCGGATTGTATCCGTCATTCTATTTATATTTGCCATCGTTTTCTTCTTGTCACATTGGAACGGAATAGATCGTGTGGATTTACATTGTTCAAAAAACTGAATAGCACCTGAAACTAATGTATATTGAGTGGCTGTTAACACTGGACTCTTTGATAACCATTTTAACAAGAAATTGAACAAGCTCTCTTTGGAACAATATTTCAAAATTTTGGAAGTACACAGCGTCTTGAGATCTTCGTCATTTATTTCCTCGGCAACAAAATCTTCAAAAATGATCAAATCGTGAAACCTGGCTAGGACGAAAGATTCAAATTTCCTGGTAAACCGTTCTGGTAAAGCAAAGTTTATAGCGAAAATGTAATATTGTACACAGGTTGCTAGACATGTTGTTTTCGTCATGAACTCTGCACAATAGTCTGTTAAGCTATCAGCTAAAAAGAATGAACTTATCCCCAAAATCTTACACACATTGTCCACAGTAACATGTACTTCCTTATTCTCTTGAAAATCTAACAATATTTTCAAGTCTTCAATTGCGTCGACATCCTTTGTAAGATCCAGCTCTTTCGCATCCGAGTCAGAAAAATAACCGGAAAATTTTGCTTTAAAATATTGGCTTGAAGCAATAAGAACTTCCTTCTTGACATTTATAGTATCACCTCCAACTTTTAAAACGATGCTATCACCTTCTTGCAGCTCATTTGCATATATTTCGTTTCTTTGTGGTGGTGGTTGTTGTTCTTTGGATGACTTCCTTTTCTGACGTCTATCGGAGGATCTTCGGTCTTTTCTTTTATTTAAAGAACCTATTTCATGCTTTGGCTGGCCACATTCAGATCCTGCCTCCTCTATTTCGCTCCTCATCTCATCCGCGTTTGTTGTATCCCTATAACGAAATATACATGTATACCACATCTTGATTATAATGAACAATTGAACATAAAGTACATGATCTTACAGCTCTCAAGAGCATTATTAAAAATACTCATTCTTATTATGTATATGATGACGAAACACTGCTGCTGCGTGAGGAGAAAAGTTTGAACCAAAGAAATCTGTTACATCGTTTTGGAGTTTTATTTGTTTAGAACAGAAATCACCTAAATCAATCTTTTTAAATATGTTTTAGCAAGTGTGCTCAAAAGAAGTAGTACAGGTTGATGGGTTTCTTTAAGTTTGACGAGGAGATCCGAATGAAACGTAAGATAATATGAAAAAATATTCATTTCATATATCAATGAAAAGCACTATGGTATTGCAGCTCTGTCAAGCACATCCATGTGACAGTGAGTGGAAAAGCGGGGAAATGAGACAAATAATTACCTTCTTCTATCGACTGATTCATTGGTGTTTGTTTGGTGCAAAATTAATGGACGATATGTTAAACCCGGTGGTTTTATTAAGTCAAAAGTTTCTATCTAAATGCATCCGGGTTAAATCAAGGGTTATTGCTTTAATACAGTACGTACACCATACATTTGGCATTTCAAAACACATGAACTGACAGTCAGCGTATATTACAAATTTTCACAAGTCACCAAAGACTACAATTTATAAGCCTATCATATCAGTAGATAATCAGTAGGAAACTTGCGACTCCATGATACACTTTTTATTTAATCAGATATGCTCATATTACGCACGAGTGTCAATAAATGACAGAACTCACTGGCCTTGTCAAAGTTGAAATGACCCAAATCACTGGACTTGTTAAAAAATCTATTATTTTCCGTTAAAAGAATCGATTCATTTATTGACCACTTGATGACTTCCTGTGAACGGATGGTATGAAATAAATGTCACTGGCCGTGTCAAAGTAAAAGTTGAGATGACCAAAATCGCTGGACTTGTTAAAGAAAAAGTTGAAGGATCTATTATTTTCCGTTAAAAATATCCATTCATTTATTAGCCACTTGATGACTTCCTGTGAACGGATGGTGTGAAATGAATGGCCACATCCGCTAAAATCTAAACTTTTTAAAACGGTTACGGACAGAGTCAACATCAATGTTAAATATCTGATTGTTTAGTTTAGGCAACATATATATTGCCCTGGTTTAATTTGGCTATCTGAATTCAAATAATATATTTCTATAAAAAAAAAGTATATATGATCTTCCAAAATCTGGTCAAAGATGGAAGTACATTTACTAATTCTTTGTGCAGATGCAAACAATTATAATCCTTTAGTGTGAAGTTAATGGATGTTTTCCAATAAGAGACAAGTACCTGTACAGGTGACTAGTCCGTGGCAGTTTGGTAGTTATATGAATTTTGGCCTACAGACTTTGTGAAAACAAACATGGCTAACAAAGCAGAATCACCTTAAACTGCCTTTAAATTCAACAGCTGCAAATTCCGCGCACCGTTTGTGTTACGGCTAATATAATCCTGTAAAGGGAGATCACTGAGTGGGAGATTGTGACATCTGATAATCTGATTACTTACCTTTTTCAATCACGTACTTCCGTCACACCTGTTTTGTGAACTTTAGACTTTGAGTTTAACTTGGCAACCGACCAGTTACATCCGGATATATCTAGAAATAAAACGAATTTTCTGTCTTAAGAATTAAAGCTTTTAAACATCATGTTCTATCCTTTAACGCACCTTCCATTTAGTATTCAAAATGAAATGAATCTTTTTTAATAAAATTTTAAGCAATTGTTTACGTGTAAATGGCGTTTGTATTAAAAAGGGGAGTAACTCTATCGAAACCGTCGGTTATTTGAATCCTAATGTGGATATAATATAATAGGTCTATAAGTGGACACATTTTCCATTAGTATTTCTAACATTAGATATGTATCATTTGGATTTTTTTCTTATGAAATGACTTGAAAAAATGTTCATAAAGTTCTAAATGATTTTTAATGACCATTTAGCTGATGAATAATAATATTGTATTCCAGAACACTTTATTACCTGCTATATTCATGTATAAGTACATGTAATATTGGATCTTGTATCTCACACTTGCCAACAAATTCCATGTATAATTCTTTCGTGGTTTATTGTTATGTCTAATACTTTACTATCAATGTAATTATTCATTGTAGATTCTAGATCAATTCTCTTTAAAGTGATTTATTAGGTTCACATTGTCTTACCAGTGTGTGTAGTACAGTACAAACAGTCAACTATTGAATCAGGAACCAAATGAAAGAAAGAATGAATGAATGAATGAACAAACGAACGAACGAACGAACGAACGAACGAACGAACGAGCGAGCGAACGAACGAACGAATGTATTAACATCATTCAATCTACAAAGTTCTAAAATTTATAGTAAATGATAAGAAAAAAAATACTTACAGTTTTTTAAATCTTCTTTTCCAACAAAATTTCTTCTTCGATTTAATAAATATGACTAAAACAATGAAAAAAAATCGAAATGAATAACAGCCAATCAGAATTACATAATACTAATATAAAACGAAAATAAAACTTCCATTATCCAATACGTGAATCAATTTCTTCCGGTTTCGGTTTAAAATAACATTTAACCTTTTCGCGGAATACGTTCTATTTTTAGATTTTACACGTCATTTAAATTATCGGAAATTATAAATACTTGTTTTTTTCTTCATAAGGTCTATTTCGATCGGTGAGGGGCTATTCGGATCATTGGAAGAAAAACGGACGCAAGTTAAACAAAAGGGCCAGGGCGAAATTCTTATTTCATCGGCTTTTTATTTTTTCGTATTGATCAGCATATTGTTCTTCCGACTTTTCCATGAGCCAGTCATTAAGTAATTTTGTATTATATTAGTTATTTAAACATCTTCAACTGAAAAATAAATGCCAACATTCTAAGTGTAAATTGATACAATAAGGAGAGTAACTCATTTATATAATATTTGACTTTCATCATCGGTATACTACGGAATGCCGTTAGGGCCATCGCCTATGAATGTGTTGATCTGAAACGCGATAGTCGATAGTACGATGGTGAAAACGCGAAATCACGAAATTACGATGGTGAAAACGCGAAATTACGATGATGAAAACGCGATAGTACGATGATGAAAACGCGACAGTACGATACTACGATGATGAAAACGCGATAAACTATCGTGTTTTCACCATCGCACTGTCGCGTTTTCACCATCGTAGTTTCGTGATTTCGCGTTTTCATCATCGTACTGTCGTGTTTTCATCATCGTAATTTCGCGTTTTCACCATCGTACTATCGCGTTTTCATCATCGTACTGTCGTGTTTTCATCATCGTACTATCGCGTTTTCACCATCGTACTGTCGTGTTTTCCATCGTAGTTTCGTGATTTCGCGTTTTCACCATCGTACTATCGACTATCGCGTTTCAGATCAACACACTCATAGGCGATGGCCCTAATGGCATTCCGGAATGCCGTTAGGGCCATCGCCTATGAATGGTTTTATCTGAAACGCGATTCTCGACAGTACGATGATGAAAACGCGAAATCACGAAACTACGATGGTGAAAACGCGACAGTACGATGGTGAAAACACGATAGTTTATCGCGTTTTCATCATCGTAGTATCGTACTGTCGCGTTTTCATCATCGTACTATCGCGTTTTCATCATCGTAATTTCGCGTTTTCACCATCGTAGTTTCGTGATTTCGCGTTTTCACCATCGTACTATCGACTATCGCGTTTCAGATCAACACATCTATAGGCGATGGCCCTAACGGCATTCCGTAGTATACTGATTATGTAAGCGTTATTAAAACATTTTTAAAGTGTTGGATTTTCAGGCCTTTTTGTATAATTTATGATGGTATGAAACACTCAGGACCATGATTCCGAATGTGTTGATCGCTATGTTAAGTCACGTGCTATGTCTTCTAGAAGCTCTGATTCTCGTCTGTCATATATTGATGAGCAGACGAACAGTAAAGCGGTTAAAGATTATATAAGAAACCGCGGGAAAAAGCGTCCACCTTTAGCAGAAGAGATAAAATTAAACATTCATAAACACATGTTTGACATTTCTGAAGAATTAAAAAATATGGATTTCTGAGGAATAGTGTGCCTTTAATTAACGTAATATCTATAGAATCAAATGAACTTTACAGTAGATCTATTTTCCTTTCCTTATATTCGGAGGAACAGCAAATGTTTATTGACACCTTTCAGTTTATCAGTTAAAGTAGCGATACCATCCCCATTAAATGCATCGGCAGCTGCAGAGGCCATTTTGTTTTCCGTAATAAATTCTCGGATTCATTAATAAAATCCATTCGTCGGTGTTATAAAACTCCTGACTCAAAATGTGTCTATATTTTATTTCTTAAAAATCGTTTTAAATTCATAGACTAAATTTAAAGTGGTTATGCGTGCTGCTATTGAATTTCTAGTCCATATAATTGTTAGTTTAAAATACAACTGGGACATTGATCTCATTCATGTGGGAAAAATGTTTCACCCGCATTCTGAACGTAACGGCTTACAACTGTTCACTATTTACAGGCGGCCGGATGGCTGAGTCGGTAGAGTCGCGGAACGGTATTCCGATGGTACCGGGGTTTGAGTCCCATTGAGGCTGCATATTTTTCTCACCCTGTGACTTGAAAGTAAAGCTAAGAAGTAATTAGGGGACTTGGGGCTCTATGTCTGTCCCCGCCATTAAAGCTGTCACGTCGCCATATGACTTAAATCACACAATGTCTTACAATTAATTCCTATTATTTTGAATCATCATTAATGCCCAAAACTGTCGCCCAAATCAAACCGGAATGCTGTTCCAATGTGTGAATTACCCTTATATCCGGTTAATCTCTTAATACATTAGAAACACGAACTAATCGCTAATTCATTTGATACCATAATTAAATCTTTTTCTGCTATATTAATTTGCAATTAATAACTAAAACGGGAATTATATTAATGGCAAAGAACAAACGGATTTGCACTGGGAAACAGACGAAAATTAAGAAAAGAATAAACCCTAAATCAAATTGAAATACAATTAAAATGTTAAAATACGCCGTTTAAGATTAGTTTAAGAGTAAAGCAAATAATTACAATAGGTAGTAAAATATTTGCCAAATTTTGGAGCGCCGGTATTTTAATAAACATATATTTGTAAGATCGACCGACTTTTAAAAGTTTGTAATTATTATAGCATAATTTAATAAGTACTTTGTACCAGTTTGGTTGAGCACGAAGTAAGTATTGATTTCAAAGTAGCCGTTATAAATATGTGAAAAACTCTACTAAATAGTTAGAAATTTTATTGCTGAAATTTGCTGAACTGAGTGACTTCTGATTAATGTGTACATGTTATGGGTGGATGGGGTATTTAGTTTCTTGACCTGAATGGATGGCAATTTAACATGAGGACAACATTTGGATATCTGTAAACAACAGGTAAGTATTTGTTTATTTTCGTGATTATTTCAAGTTCTTGTTATTGTGTATGAATCAATGCCGTATATAAATAACTACTGTGCAGCACGACGGAACGTAGCCTTTTGGATAGACTCGAACTTGGGTCATTCCGTTTTTCGAACTTGCTTTTGAATCATCAGGACCAAGCATAACTTCATAACGAATATTTAGTTTTTAGGCATTCTTTAAACATTTACGCTAAACATATAAATATCTGACCATTATTTTTAATGAGTGAAAAATAAGAATAAGCAGACGATAATTTGATAGAGTTTAGTCAGACAACGACTGACCTGGTAGTTAAAGTAACAAAATAACAGTTTTTTTTTCTCTCAAAAACTACATGGAACTAAGTTAAATCAAATCAAAATTATTTAATTTTCGCTTAGTTCATCATATCGCACGTGTACACGTGCTAAGAATTTGAACATTGTATTATTTAAGTATTAGATGCTTTTTAATGTATGGAATATGTAAAATGTAATATGTATTTCAAATGCACAACAGAAATGATTATATTGTCACAAAAATCGTACTACTTTATTTATGCTTTGAATTCACAATTTTTGACAATGCCATGTATTCTGTTATATTTGGCAGACTATTTTATGCGTTTTATTAAATATTATTGTACAACTTATAAAATGATTACGGATATCTTTAACTAGGCTAAATATTGCGACGGTGACGCGGAAAAAAGCATGTCGAAAGAATGTCGTCTACCTGATTTTTTTATGTTTATTTACATCAAATAATTATACACTTGGATCGCAATGTTAAGACAGCTTAAAAGTAAAAACATTAGCTATTTTATTCAACGTTTTATTTTTCTTATCTATAAGTCTATTGTGACATCATTTCAAGTTGAATACATGTATATACGACACGCATGCGTTTATTTAATAAATTATGACATAATTTTTGTCAGTGCTTTTATGGGGTAGAACGTAAATATTTGCACTTTTATCTCAAGGGTGCTTTTGGGAAGTCTTATGTAAACGCCCTTTCATCAGAAAAGGACAACAAATTACGTTTTACTTACATAGCTTATAACCAGACCTGGATGAGCCTTTTCAATAAATAACTAAAATAACAACGCCTCGAACCTGTGTGAAAGGTCCATGTTGAAAAACCTATTTATTTACCCATTCGTCGCTTGAAAAACGTTTTGTTCTAAGTGCCAATTTGTTGTTTTTGAGAAAAAAGCATGTAAAGATTTAGTATTGCATAACTTTTTTATTTATTGTCGGATTTTGTAAATTTAAAAACTACTAAACGTGGTGTCAGGAGAACAACTCAATATCGTTAAAGATATGTGGATTTTAATATTACCTTGCTTAAAAACCTAAAAAAACATTTGGAGATAGAACAGTCCTTGTAACTTTTTTTCAAAAATTGTTAAAATCAGAATGTTCAATGTGACTTAGAACATTATGTCTTTTAAGTTGAATAGATTTATATCATATAAAACAGTATGTTTTATCTTTAAAAGGCTGCCAAAAAATGCTCTCGGCCAATTATCCCTTGATTAGTTGACTTTGACACTACACTATTTATTAGACCATATGTATCAAACTACATGAACCATGACATTCGAAATCTTATTAAAATCCTTAAATCCATTACACCATTTTTTTATAACTTTGGCCACATTCAAAGTGATTCAATGACTGGAAAAAGAAAGTTATAGCCGCAAACGGGAAAAGAAAAACTTTCAATTTTTTTAGAATGCTGGAATATCTTTCAAGGTTTTTTTTATGAACATTCAAAAGATGGTCAGATTCAAATTCCTTCCAAAAGTATGAAATAGTAGTAATTATTTTGTTATGCGCTTTACACGTTCTGTGTGTAGGTAAGAAGTTCTTATAATTGAAGGTATGTAAAGAAAATGTTTCTATAACTTAAATAGGCAATGAAAACATATCTGCTAGAAAAGACCTTAAAGGTGGAGCAGGCATGACTTATATTTGAAAAATGTCATATTTAAAGATTGTTCGTGTACAAAAACATCACAAACATAATGCTACATAAATAGTAATTTAGAAATTCAAAGTCAAATTACAAGACAAACAAAATATACGTATAAGAAATTTTTCTTCCTTCTGTCTTTGGTATAAAATGTGTTGACTTTAAAGCAATCTATTATAATATTAACGCATTCGAAAACATATATTATATGTAAACGTATAATATCTATAAATTTTCTTAAATGCCTTATTTGCCCCAGAAATGCTTTTATCTTAATCTCTCAAAAGCCTGATATTTGGAGTTCTGTTATAGTTTCCAAAATATTCCACATTGGTCAGTAACCTAAAACCATCTTATGCTTTTGTTTCATATTGGCAATGAGTATAGTCATTTTTTTAAACTCATATGTGTCTGTTATAAAGATAAATAATTGGTTTCTGATACAGAATGTACCTTACGTTAAATAAACTTTAGAACATATAACAAATTTTCTTTTTAAAAAAATTACGAATTTGATTGATGAAATTGTATGATCACAGTTGTTTCTATCCGAAAATACACATCCGAAATTACTTTCAAATCATGATCAGTTTTGCTCGTTGTTTAATCACATGTAGTAAATTTACAGGACTTAATACTAAAATGTCAATGATTGGAAGGCATAAATGAATACATAATATCATTCAATACTTATATTTAGTATTAAAATATTAAATAAACAACAGACCATCTAACTCAAAATGTTTCGTACAACATGGCGGGTGTCCTGCTATCACGTGATTTGATGCTATGTTTTGATACGATCATTTTGGATTTAGAACAGTATGTTGCATATATCCCACAGGTCACATGACATTTATCGATGATATGATTAGTCCAGTAAGTTAGAACAGTCTATTTTTCAAGACATAGTAAATTTGTGGAGATAGAACAGGATGGTTTCGTTGTAATTCATTTATGAAGCTCTGAAGCACTAACATAACATGCCAAGGAGATAGAACAGTCCATTACGGACAAAATTGTGTATTTAACTTGTTTTTGAAAAATTTGGAGATAGAACATTACAGTTTTCAAGCGACGCATTTCAAATTGGAACAGTACCCTTACTATACTAGTATTAGCGCCACATTATTTTCATATCTAAATGGCAATGTGGACAGGTTCGACTTTATTATTCAAACTAGAGTTATTTTTTTAGATATAAATATTCATTGAAAAGATTATTTTTACTATTGTCTTTTTTTACACGAACATTTCTACAATATTTATTATAATAATTACGATTAGATATAAAATATAACTTATGGGACACCTGCGCTGCCTTATTCGCCATGAGCATCACTTGCTTTTTGGTGGGTGCCATGCAGCACATATGTTTCCGTAATAATGATATATTGGTGTTTTTACTTATCATGCAGCTTAAGTTTGTTGAATTTTATATATCATAGGGCAATTTCTTTTTAATTTTCTGAACCGGTTTAAGATTAAATTATACACTTGCGGCGTTCCATATGGACCATATCCTTCTGAATTTGTTTTCGTTTAAAATGGGTAAACGGGTCAACATGAATTATTCATAAATATGAACAGGGTCGTCTTTATAGTAAATTGATCTCATTGTTAAATTCGCTTGGTTAAGAGAAAATAGTTCGTTATTTTTACATAACTGCATTGTTTATATATCACTTAACTGTTAAACCTTATTGTAAATAATTCGTATTAAAATGAATGAAAACTGTCGAGTTATATATCAACTAAAAGCTTTAAGTTTAATAATTAATATTCTAATTAAACACTTGCATTTACATGCATTTGTTGGACGGAAGAAATAACACTTAATATATTAAATAATATCACTATATCAAAGTTATTATTTGTTTTCCTTAAAGGAACACCACTGAGATCCAAAAACCCCTAAAAAACCCAAAATTTATTTTTTTTCACATGAATCCGCTGAGGCACTACAATACAGAAATATAGACAAAAAGTAATTAAGAAATATACCCAGAAAAGAGTTACAAACCAAACCGTATTTTTGTGCTATTCTGTAAAAAAACAAAAAAAAAAAAAAAAAAAAAAAAAAAATACGAGTGAGGCAAATGCTCTGAAATTTATCAAGTCGTACATGACTTTAAGTAAAAATCTAACCTAACATATATTATATTAAAGGTAGAACTTAAGCACATGTTATAGCTGTTAAAGGTGCGGATAATCAATTAGCGACGCGGAGTAAAATTATCAACTCGTCAAAATGTGGCAGATTTTGCGCAGTCCGTGAAAAACAACACTCGTGTTTAAAGAATGGCTACGTAAAGATAGGCAAAATTGACACACTACACTAAAGTTTCCCCGAGGGACTCGTCTATTGTTGTTATTGTTTGTTTTTTAGATTGCGAAAAGAGATTGCATTTTAATCTACACTAGACCCTTTAAGAAGATTCGGCGCTAATTGCAAAGGAAACCTATCTTATTAACACTGTCGAGGGACTTGTTAAACTGGTATGTACATTTTAAGTTGCCAAAAAGCAATTAATATGTATTATTTACGTTTGCTATGTCATAAGTGTGTTATTCTATGTATTTAGAATTGCAAAAAATTGTGATATTACAAAACATAATCGTTTATCATGAATAAGGGAATAATTTCTTTTTTTTTTGGTGTATTTAAAGTTTGATTATGCGTCTTATCTTTAAATGAGAGTACTTTAGATAAAGTAGAGTCTTTTTTATTTGAAACTTTTGCGTTGCCGGGGAATCTGACAGACGTTATATCTTAACGGTAAATATATTTATTCTATATAGTTGTAAACATGAAGTCTTGTGGTAAATGTGATGTCGAGATAAGTGTTACATTTGATGGACTGGAGACAGTGGAGCCCGTTCCTGAATGTCTACAAGAAGCATTTCTCAGTTCTTCGCCGACGGAAACAGGAACCAGTCAACAAAATCACGTGACGTTGCCCAATAGGTATGCGCAGTGGGTGAATAACTTTACGGACGCTGAGAAGCAGGAAATAAACGTTGATATGGCAACAGAAACTACTCGTGAGCGGGAAAAAGATCTAGGAACTGCACTCCAATGGATTAAACAAGAAATGGTAAGTTCTTTCTTGCCTTCACAAACTTCACAAAATGTAGGCTACTAAAACTACACACACAATAAAACAGTTTTTGTAGAAAAAGTTTTTTGTGACAAAAACAAACGTTATTTCATCTATTTCGGAAAGAAAGTGAATAAAACCAAATCCGTAAAGTGAAAAAGTTTTGATTTTTTTTATAGACTTTCACTTTTCTTACAATAACATTTTATTAGGTATATGACCGAAAGTATCCGCAAAATAATATTTTTTTCTTTATTTAATTAAACTAATCTATTACCTATCTATTAATCTATTACCAACAAGTTAGCTTTTAATTACATAACCAAGAAAATATACCACAATCAAAATATTTTCTTAATTTGATTTTATAAAAAAAATTATTTTAAAAAAAAGAACGTCATGGAAATGGTATATGTAGCGAAGCAAAAGGGGACCACTGTGTAGGAGTAGGCGGCCGTTTTTGAAACTCCAAATCTTATTGAACAAATATAAATATAAGGGATTATATATTACTATATTTCATATTCATTTATAAAAATAAAAATATCATACTTTGTTGAGATACTGAATTCTGGGGAACTCGTACACAGTCTGCTGCAAAACCCCTTTCCGTCAGTCTTCGGTCTTATAGATAAAAGCCGAGGATTTTCCGACTGCTTTATTGGACGAGGCGCTCGCAACATTTCGGAGCTTTCACTTAAGATAATCCTAACAGCCGTAAAAAGGTCAAAATATATGAAATCAGAACAAATTCTTAGCTTTTAAGAGCAATATTTGATATGAGAAATGTAATATTTGGATATGCAAAATTTTAAGGAGATGTATATGCAGTTTTCTTACGAGTAAATGTAATACTATTTTACGCAAATACTTTGTTTAAACAAGGTCTTTCAAATAGAATGGTCTGGAGTCGGACCAACTTTCAGCTGAGTCATGTGATTAGGTTGATCTGGCATAGTACATCCCCATTCAAAATTCAAATTATAATACAATGTTTTGTTTAATCGATCCAAAAATTACTGAAAACACTAATCCTGGCTACATTACATTTACAGTTTCTATTTGAAAGACACTGCGGTAAACACTGACAGAGTTAAACGCAACGTAAAACTTTGCCCTAGATCCTTAGAGATAATCAAGTGGTCGCAAAGATCAAAGGTATCGGGTTAAACACAAACCATTAACAATGTCATTTACATGAAATCTACATGCAATTACCGTATCAAAATTAATTTGTTTAATTATGCGATCGTAGACTGATCATACGAACGTCAACCGTGCAAGAGGGTATAGTTACAAAGGCAGCATCGTGTGTCGAAATAATAACAATATTTCATGGGTAAACACCTCTGCAAAAATGGACGTAACTGATTATAGTATGACAGATAAGATAGATAAAATAAGATGAGTTAAGAATATTTTATTTCAGTCCCACTCACATTATATGTATACATAAACAGTCTCACGGATCTAATCTACAATTTACATATGAGTGACTAATCAATTAATGATTTGTAAGAGACTATATATAGATATTGACTTACAACACACGTACATAGTAATCTATGACGTGGTGCAATTACTATTAATATATAATATATATAATATGATATATTCACTGATAAATGAGTATGAAATGAATGGGACATAAGCAGAACATTTTATATTATTTCGGCTTTCTCAATTTGACGAAAAAGTAGGTCAAAGACTAAGACGTTCTATAACAGTAGAATATTTGGCACATTAATCATACCTTTTCAAATAGAAACAATATGTTTTGTTCCTTATGAAAATAAATATGTCAAAAACAAAAAAGGAAAAGGAAAAAACATAGGCACTTGAAAGTTTTTTGATCGACTACCCGTTGTGACCGATACCCGCCGTGATTTTTATAAACTTTTATCTACAACACACACTCATATAAAATCAATAAAAAATATATTGACAAAACGTCTTTATTAAACAAAAATTAGATTTGTCTTATGGAGGGTGTTTGTTGCCAAAATACCAGACATGTAAAGTGTTCTTTTTGAAAACTACTCGTGAATGTCTACCTTTTTTGACTGTATCTGTGCATAGGAGTTCTCATCAACGATTTATTAAAATGATTAATAAAAAACTAACCAATCATGTGCGTTTATTTTGCTCTATTCTAGGCAATTATGAAAGAACAAGACAAGTCTCTCATGAAACAGTTTGTTACACTAAGATCGAAAATTCTTCAACTTCGATGCATATATGATCTCGAAGAGTCATATTCAGATCACAGCCTAGACGAGAGCACCTATTCTTTAGATGACCGGTCGGAGAGTCTATGTCTGAGCTCATATCATACCCGCTCTAGTTCAGATGTAGAAACGAATGGATTCCGGTCAAGGACGAGTTCTTTGCTAATTCCAGAAAATGAAAAACCAGGGCCAATAACACGGATCAAATGGAAAAGTCACGAATACTTGTAGCCCGAATGGAAACGAGGCTGGTGTATTCAATGTAAGCAGACGAAGCGAGCGTTCGTCAATGCAGATGAAGCAGTTGGAAAGCGACCGGATGTTATGGATATGTGTGTGCCGAGAATGACACCACATTGTCTTCGAGAGGGTGTTTATCTTAACCGGAAGTCACCGTAATGCCACAAGTCACATGACCAAACTGCAAATCATTAGTTTTCTGGGAAGTGAACTATAGCTACTGACACAATCAAGGAGCATACAACCGGAATTTATAATTGTGCAAACAGTTTTTCTAAAAGAAAACGACTTCAATCATACATATCAGTAGTGAGTTTGATGTAATTGACGACGACTACAAACATGACTCGTACCAGCAGAGAAATATCATGATATTGTTATGGAAATAGAACATGAATGCAGACTATCTTATTTTACACTTGTATATAAACTATATATAAACTACAATGTACACAACTGAATTCAGGAATTAGTAAAGAACAAAATAATTTGGGTAAAGTACATGTATCATGCTGTTATTTGTGAAAAACAAACAAACAAAAAACATACACATAAAGGTAACAACAAAATCTTTATATATATTTTCACATTCAGTTCTCATCTCGACAAATTGTCAAACAATTGAAAAAAAAGTACTAAAGTAATGGATACACTCGAAGTACATTGTATATGATAACAAATATTGAGTGTTTAAGAATTTACTAGCTATGCAAATCGTTTTTGATCAAATGTAAAGATTAAAATGTATCATCACATTTGTCAGTTTATAATATTTTTCAGTCATATACAAGCATACAATAAACTCCGAAGTTTTCCGATATAATCTAAAAAGTATAAATTACGTATTATCACAAGTTCTATAACTAACAACTTCTCCTCTTGAATAGAATATGAATAAACGTCGGAGAATGGATATATTCACAGCCTCAAGTTGACAAAATGTGCCTCTAAAAATTTCCTGTTCAATAGATCCGATGGACACATTTTTAAAGCAATAATGAAAACAAAATTATTGATTGATTGATTGATTGACAAACTGACTGACAGACTATTGATTGATTGGTTAGTTATTATTGGTGAGTAATTAGTTGAATGGCTAATTGATTGATTGATTGACTGACTGATTGATTGATTGATTGATTGAATGACTTATTGGTTTGTTAGTTGAGTGATTGAATGGTTAATTAATCAATTGATTGACGTATTGATTAATTTACTGTTGGTTGGTTGGTTCATTCGAACGTTCGTTCGCGGGTTGCCTAATTTAGTGGTTGAATGAATTGTTGGTTTTGTGTATGAATGGTTGGTTGATTGATTAATGGTGCAGTTATTAAGGTAATGAAGTCAAGATAAGCTTCCTTTATCATTGACCATCTCCATACATGTATTTCTACTTGCAAAATTTCCGAGAACATGCCACAGAATGATGCACATAACCGTCTGAATCATTCGACGCCGTCTCCTGATTTGAACAACACTCCTTGTCTTTACCTAAATGACAAACCTCCAACTGAACGTTGTATCCCACCTGTTCACAATTTCTGGCCGTTCCCATTATTTCTGTTGAAAAAACATCGCCTAAATTGATGTTCGCATCATTTACACAAGACACTGATGTTTTGCTACCAGTAGTCGACGTTCCTTTATTATCATTGACCTGTCCAATCACGTCATGCGGGACATAGTTTTCATCTTCGCTAGATAACGTGAAATCAGTGAAAGTGTTTGAGTGAGGCACACACTCGTATGTTTCACTTGCAACCCCATTTAAAACTGAACAATCAATAGGATGTAAAACGGACCCATTTGTTTCCCGTTTAACCTCTTTTGAAACTGGAGTATCGATCTTATGAAACATGTAATCATTTGCTTCATGTACAACCTCTTTTGAAACTGGAGCCTTGATTGGACGAAACAGGTACCCATTTGTTTCATGTGCAACCTCTTTTGAAACTGGAGTACCGGTTGGGTGTAAAACGTACCCACTTGGTTCCTGTTCAACCCCTTTTGAAACTGGAGCCTTGATTGAACGAAACACGTACCCATTTGTTTCATGTGCAACCTCTTTTAAAACTGGAGCCTCGACTGGATGTAACACGTAACCATTTGTTTCATGTGCAACCTCTTTTGAAACTGGAGTATCGGTTGAGTGTGTCATATACCCACTCGGTTCCTGTGCAACCCCTTTTGAAACTGGAGCCTCGATTGGACGAAACACGTACCCATTTGTTTCATGTGCAACCTCTTTTGAAACTGGAGCCACGATTGGATGTAACACGTACCCATTTGTTTCATGTGCAACCTCTTTTGAAACCGGAGTATCGGTTGGGTGTAACACGTACCCACTTGGTTCCTGTGTAACCTCTTTTGAAACTGGAGCCTCGATTGGACTAAACACGGATCCATTTGGAACACGTGCAACCTCTTTTAAAATTGGAGTATCGATTATATGAAACATGTAATCATTTGGTTCATGTGCAAGCTCTATTGAAACTGGAGTCTCTATTGGATGTAACACGTACCCATTTGTAAAATGTGCAACCTCTTTTAAATCTGGAGCCTTGATTGGCTTCGTTTCAAGTGCATCCTCTTTTGAAACCGGAACCTCGACTGGGTGAAGCACGTACCCATTTGTTTCATGTGCAGCCTCTTTTGAAGCTGCAGCCTCGATTGGATGGAGCACATATCCATTAGTTTCTAGTGTTTCCTTTATTGAAACCGGAGCTTCAGTTGGACGAATCACATATCCATTTGTTTCAAGTGCAACCTCTTCGTGTATTTGAGCCTCAATAGGACATGGGACCTTCATCTCGGCTCTACTACATTTCCCATAGTTCATTTGATGATTAAAATCTTCTCCTATGAATGAAGACCCTTCACTACTTTCTATTTCCCATGAACTCTGAAAATTAATAGGTAATTTAGCATCATTTAATTGTATATACGAATCGTTTTTTACATTCTGAAGTCCACAGTCATCTCTTGGAAAATCATGTGCACTTATTTCGCATTTGCTTTCATCTATTGCACATCTATCGACAGCTTTATTTTTTATTTTGTCAGAGTCTGAATCGGGGGATGCTTGATTACATTTGACATAATCAGAACTTCTATCTTTTCTATCTTTTGTGGAACCATTTTCTGTAGATAATTCTCTATTTGGATTTCGAACAATAACTTCAAGAGGTTTAGAAAAAGCTACGGAATCTCCAATATGTACTCTTGGCTCATTTTCTAATTCGAGCGTTTGGTCATGGATCATTTCAGTAATTGACATATCAGATGTTAGTGGTGAAAGCGCCGATTTAAGTGCAGTTGTTTCTGTTGGCGGCAGATCATTTTCATGGTGATGATTAATAAGGAGTCCAATATTATTTTCTGTTCTTTCCATATTCGTTCGGTCTTCTGATACATTACCCTTAGCACATGCACCGCCATTTCTGTTTTCTCTCCTAATCTGAAAAAGTAAAACATATTTGTTTCACCACGGGACATCTTTTGTTATTCAGTGTAAATTAAATACATGCATGTTTTTGTACATTAAACATGGGTAAGATGATAGTCGTATTTTTTCAATACATTTCTCCCAAATTTAAATGAAAATGTGAATAACTGAATGCAAATTTCATGTAAAAAAGCATTTGTACAAAGTAGTTTGAGAATGATTTTATGTTACAAGATCATCGATAAGATTGGCACTATTTTTTTTAACAATTATTCCTACACTTTGTCAAGTGTGTTTTTCTTTATTGTTTTTGATGAATTTAAAGACTAGTATTTTTCGAAACTAGGATTTTTTTAATAAGATAAACAAGATATTAAAAAAATCTCATATTGGACCTCATTTCATATAACTCGGATAAATGTTATCTAAGTTTGATTTGATTTTACGTCACACAAACACAGTATTGGTTATATTGCGATGTTTTAGTTGTACTAGTGTAGGAATATCTTAGATGCCCTTCCGTGCATTATTTTAGATATGAACGGGCAGCTGAGTAGAACCACATTAAGCTAGCTGGATAGCTTCCTTACATGAAAGAATCCAAAGTCCCTGTTGGGATTCGAACCCACAGCGATGAGGAGGAAATGTTAACCACTCAGCCACGAACGTCCCTTCTTATCCAAATAAAGTGTCAATCTTGCTAATGATATGCAAACATTTTTTTCCACAGTCCCGTTTCATAACTGTCATATGTCTTGAATAAATACTCTTAACAAATCATTTATATGTCCATGGATTCACTATCAAATAAAAACAAATTGTCTCTGTCTTTCCTTTCCTATAAAGACTGATTTAAATTTCAAAAAGTTTTTGTTAATATTAAGGAAATTAAATATTTACATTGAGGTTTTCATCAGGTATGTCTGGAATGGTTATTTCTGCTGCCCTTTTCAACACAAATTTTGCTTTCGTTTTACACCTCCTGTATTGTTAAAACAAAGATAAAAAGTAAAGGAGCATACAAGAAAAAGGCAACTACAAAAGACAGTTGGGGGCATTTCAACTTCACGAATACCCGATTTCCGTTTCGTGATTTTACGATTTCAACTTCACGAATTCATGATTTCAACTTCATGGATACACAATTTCAACTTCATAAATTCAAGATTTCAACTCAGATAAAACATTTAATTGTACACACGAATTGAAATTATATTTATTTATTTATCGTGAATTTATATACTTCTATTCCGTATGTTGAAAGCGTGAATTCACGAAGTTAAAAATCTGAATTCACGAAGATGAAATCGGGGATTCATGAAGTTGAAATTTCCCAACCGGTCTTTCGTAGGGAACAGAACTATGGCAATATATGAACTAAAATAATGGACCTAACAACAGTTGTGTAGCGTAATGTGACAAATATACAACATTGCCATTTATTTCCCCTTAATTAGTGTTGTATATTTAACTCGTTCTTTGACACCATTGCTTTTAGGTGCATATTGATTACTGCTTTGGTCGGTGCTAGTAGGCGTAAAAGATGTTGCACTTTATATGGCTATTAAAGGACAGACCCAAGCTCGCTTTGCTTAAATATCTACGCCCCCCCCCGAAAAAACAACAACAACAACAAAAATAATATTCTGAAACAAATAAAATGTCCGTTGCATTATAAAAGTAACGTGTTTGTACTGATTGAATAACCATAGCTTTATTGCAATAAGTCATTTATATGCAATGTAAATTATGCAGTGTAATGTTATTATAAAATTATACCCAATAACGCAGAAAATTCCTACGCCGGCAAATAGTACGCACACTAACACCCCCATAGCTATACCAATTATCTCAGAAGGGGTTAAACCTGTAAAAAATGTTTCATTAAGATATATTTGAACCTATTTTTCTATAATATAGTTTTGGAATGAAATTTGACAACAATAATACAATAATTCTTTAAAATACATTGTTTGTGCGCTTATATTTAATGGCATCTGGGGTGGTAAGATTGACTTCTATACAATTGCCTCATCAATGAATTTGAAGCCAAAAGTATGATAAAGAAAAGAAAAAGAAAAACAGTATCCCTGAAGAACTCGGCATAGCACAACTAACATAAAGTGTATAATGGATAAGAGAAAAATGAAGATGACTATAATTCCCTCGTTTACTATCTAGAACGATAAGTAATATCGGGCGTTAAACAAAGAAAAGAGGAATATTTCCCTCGTTTACTTGAACGATAAGTAATATCGGGCGTTAAACAAAGAAAAGAGGACTATTTCCCTCGTTTACTTGAACGATAAGTAATATCGGGCGTTAAACAAAGAAAAGAGGACTATTTCCCTCGTTTACTTGAACGATAAGTAATATCGGGCGTTAAACAAAGGAAAGAAGACTAATCCCCTCCTTTTCTAGAAAGATAAGTGATATCGAACGTTTAACAAAGGGAAGATGACCAATTCCATCGTTTATTAGAACGATGCGTTTAACAAACAGAAGAGGACTAATCCCTTTGTTTACTAGAACGATAAGTGATATCAGGCGTTTAACAAAGAGAGAGAGACTGGAACCAATGTTACCGTCATAAATATGATGTGATGTGACGTGACTTGAATTTATGTCGCGAGTTTCTGGATTTATTGGCGGAGGAATATTGTATCTGAACTCCCATTTATCCCCTTAAAATCTAACAAAGATTGTTCTGTTAGTAAACAGGATTTCAGAAAAAAATAGTTTCTACAGAAAAAATGTTTCATATCAAATTACACGACTTTGATGTGCAATGAATTTTACTTTTATTGACTGGAACTCCTCGCTGTATTTGACTCTCTGGTCCGAAATGGCCTTCTTTTGTCACACCTCTCACGGTAACAAGATATGTTTGATCACTTTCTAGGTCAATTAGTTCAACCCTGGCTTCCCCGGATGCCGAAACGGTCATAGCTGTTTCAAAGAAGAATAACATGCAATAAAGTAATTTTTGATATAATATGTTTAACGAATAGACAGGACTGATTTTGAGAATTTGGCTCCCTATAAGATGCTAGAGGCATGTTGTAGTACAATTAAGTGGTGTCTTGGTGTATTTTACCTAAATAAGGTATGCTGAATCCGATAAAGGTGGATACCGAATTGAAAAACTTGATCTTAACCATTGAAATGACCATTTAAAATGCCCACTAAAATGACCGCCAAATTTCTTTATCAGAAATGGATGATATATCAATTAAAACTTTTAAGGAAAGGAAGAGCCTGATATTGGTCACAAAGCATGTTTAGGTAAAAACAAATTATACACCAAAACAGAATTAAAAAAACAAAACAATCCAATATGGCCGAATAATCCAAGATGGCGGACATTATTCTATAGGCTAATATAGAGGATATTGAATGAGTGTAGTTTAATATTAAATTTATTAAACGAGTTGAATAAAATCAAATTATGCGAGCCTCTGGCCAGCATTATATTGTTTTATTCAACGAGTTTAATAAATTTAGTATTGAATCTACACGAATATAATATTCTATTTATCACATAAATAAAAAAAGAACAGTAAATCGTTAAAATGAGTGATTTTTCAATGACGCGCCTATAGTGTAACGCTAACATTAGCGCGCTTTAACGCTATGTATATATATCGCGCAAATGACGGCACGTCAAAGTGTTATTACACTAGTGTAATATCGTTTTTATTAAATGGCTTTATTACACTCCTCCGCCGCGTATTATGTGATACATAATAGTAATATAGAAGTAATATTAAAGAAAGTACTGAAAATTTTAAGGCATTTAAACGTAAGAGACCTATATTTAGGGTTTACGTAGCGAACACTACTACACTCTTTCCTGCTCTATCTACTGGATATAGAGCTTTCATGTATTTTATCTGGCACTCTATGCAAGGATATAGAGTATATTTGCACAGTGCATGTGAGGGGGTTTAAACGTGTGCATGCAAAATATACATTAATTAAAGGCACCTGTCTCTGACTTTTCTTGGGTTTTGGTGTTCGTTTTTCTGTTATCGATCGTCGTCTCTGTTCTCTGTTATCGGTTATTGGTCGTTCTTCATTCGGTCCTGGTCTGAGTTCTTTTTTTGTCACATGTTCCGATTTCTCGTCTCTGTTCTCTTCTCCGTTCTGCTGTCATCGGTTCTCGTGTCTATTCTGCTGTTATCAGTCCTGGTCTCCGTATTCTTGTTTTCAATTGTTCTGTCATCGGTTTCCGTCTATGTTATCAGTCTTCGTCTCTATTTTTCTGTCATGAACCCTCCAGTCCATGTCTCTGTTCTTCTGTTATCGGTACTCGTCTCTATTGTCTTGTTGTCAGTTTCTGTTATCTGTCCCTGTCTTTGTTCGCTTGTTCTCCATTCTTCTGTTATCGGTCCCTGTCTCTGTTCCTTTGTTGTCAGTTTCTGTTATCTGTCCCTGTCACTGTTCGGTTGTTGTCAGTTCTGCTGTTAGCGGTCGACGTCACTGTTCGGTTGTTGCCAGTTCTTCTGTAATCAGTCCTCGTCTCCGTTGTCTTGTTCGGTTGTTGTCAGTTTTTCTGTTATCGGTCCCTGTCTCTGTTCTTCTGTATTTGCTCCTTGTCTCTATTCGCTTGTTGTCAGTTCTTGTCTCCATTCTTCCTTCTGTTATCGGTCGTCTTTGGTCTTGTACTTTCGGAACTTGTTTCCTGTTCCGTTAAGGTCTTCTCTTGTATCTATCGTTGCCGTCATTCTTTGTTGATGTCCTGGTTTTGTCAGTCTTGTAGTCATTTATTCGTTCAGTGGAGTAGCGGGGGATCGAACTCACGACCCCTTGATTTGAAGGCAGACAGTGTTACCACTGCACCATAGCGCCCGCTCTGAATAATAACCATTTTTGAAAGTGCTTTATACTTTAAATACTATTTCAATGGCTAACAAAGGGTGTATTACAATTATATTTTAACACCTCTACTATGTAGCCAACCCACGTGACTTTTATATATGGGCAAAGAAAATATTACTCGATTTATTACAAGTAATATTTTTAAAGATAACTTTGCAGTTACTTTAAGATATTCCGGACATTTATTGGAGGGTACCCAGAATTCTAATGTATATCAAATGATGTGATAATCTTCTTGTAGAATTTTCTCAAAACCGTGACTGAATTCCAAAATTTTCGAGAGCTGCCATGGTATAGCAAGCACACGTAGCAGTCTCCCGGTTTCAGACATTTCATGACTCGATGAAAATATGGTGTTGTTATTGTTGTTATCAAAAACTTACATGCAGCATACATGTGTAATGTTCACAATGTGCTGAAAAAACGGCTCTTTTTTAATTTCAACATTTCAGCAAGTGACACATTTTATATAAAAATGGGGCAGAAATGCTGTTCTAACCATTTAAAAATTTAGGATTTGTAAATTTGTAAGTTGGATATTTTTTACCTACTAGTAGTTTTCTCAACACTTAATTCACATTTTCATATATAAACCTAAGGTACAGAAAATAGACAGAAAACAACTGTCATAGATTGAGATAGAGCCATAGTGTCGTAGATATTTGGGTAACAAAAGGAGTTTTTGATCCTGATAATGTATTAAGTACAGGATAAACATATTACAAGCCTATATTCTTAAAATTTTGCACTGCCTTAATTCAATTTTTTTAAATGCGTGCAATTATGTAATTATTATGTCTTTAGTTAATAGTTTCTGGAGAAAAGACTTAACAAAGGTGGTATCTTTTATTTTATAGATAATAATGGGGGGGGGGGGTGGCAGTTTGGCATACTTAGTCCCGCTTTTGCATGTTGGAACATCTATATTTTATTTGTTTGTATACACAGCCTAATTGCTTATTTTGTATAGTCTTTTTTTATTGACCTGTCAATTATGAATACATTACAACACTCATTGAAATATTAGATTCCACTTCGATTTCGTAAGTAAAGATTACTTAAGGATTGTAACAGACAGTAAATAAGTGTTGACAGATGTGTAAACATTTAAAAAGTTTAAACATTTGAAATTCGTAATAACGAAATATTAATTTGTTATTACGAAATATTTATTCTGTGGTTATATTTAATAAGAAGGATTTTGAAACTAAGTTTATTGTGAAATATAAGTCAAGTAAACAAAACATAAAAAAGTGATTTTTTTTTCAATCTTAGTCTTATACCTTAACGCGCTTGTAAAACAGTACTGTAGATAACTGTTAATTGGGTTATTAGGCTTATAATCGTTATATTTGGTGGCCAATCTCATTAAAATCTGATCATATTGAATAATCATTTAATTTTGACAAGAATAATCAATTAAAAAAATAGTCTTAATGACCTATTTTAGTATTTTTAAGCGGCCATTTTGAATTGACCTTTTAAAGGTCAAGGTCAATTTTATTTTCTTGGTATCTACCCTCATCGTCTTCAGCGATCAAACACTCAAGATATTACTTGTACAATAAAATACCTCTAGCATTCATATTTTCTTAAAATCAGTCCTGTCTAGAAATGTATAATGGAAGTTAGAAGCAGACTGATGAAAATATTTTAGATGTTCTCTTGCTCTTCATTTGAGTGCATTGTTTTTTGAAGTGTAGACTAAGATATATTTGTATATGAATCGTGGATAATCATTTTAGCTACGGTAAAGCAGGGGTGTAGCTTTATTAAAGATTTTGTAACGGCCGACTCCTTGTTGGGTTTCGGGCCTTGCACCAACAAAAGATTTGTTTGGTTCTGGATTGTATCGCGTACACCACAGGTGGCAGTATCGGTGTTTGGACCAGTAGTAGGGTCAAGGGGCAAGTAGGAGTGGGGTGTCCACACACCGATACTGCCACCTACATGTCGCGTACACATGTTTTAGTGCAATATGTTCAAATTGCAGGTCGACTTAAACACCAATAAACAGTTTCCGAACTAGCAGACGACAGGCTATTTTTATTAGTTGTGTTTCGAGTAATAGGTTTTCCGGCTATGTATTTTAAGGCTATAAAAAATATTATTGTTTACATTTCTTATTCTCGCCATTTTGCTTGCAATATATGACGTCATAGTGCGCAATATACGGTTCATCAGTTTCACATGACAGTTTATCCCACGTGACCAACAAGGTGTTATCCTCGGATCCCCTCGACACCTGCACATTCTTAGGTTCTCGTTTTGGAACTGTAAATTAAAGCATTCACAATTTTACGTGTTTAAGGAAATGAATCGCGGCTTTCCATACAGTATAAGCTGTATGTAGTTGTATATATCTCGTCATTTTTTACATCATCATCATCCTCATCATCACCACCATTATCATCAACATCATCATCACCACCAACATCACCACCGCAATTGATATCATAATTATTACCATTGTCATCATTACAACCATTATCATAATTTTCACCATGGTCATCATTATCATAATTATCATCATAATGATCATCACCTTCACACACAATCGTCACCACAATTGACACAATTATCATCATTTTCATCATTATCATCGTAATCATAGTTATCCCCGTTATCTTATCATTATCACCATTTGGTTTATATAGAATTTATTTTAGTTCGATTTTGTAGGAAGCTATAAGCTTATAGACACACTTTCGAATCCGTTCCTGGAACCAACCAGTACTGAGCAATGAGTATAAGGTTTCTTTCTCAAGGAAACAACGACTTGCCCCTGACGGGATTTGAACCCATACGGCTAGCGATCATTTGATTACTAGTCCGGTACGTTGACCACTCGGCCATGCCGCCACTATTTGCATCTTTATCATTATTACTGTGTAAATATCACCATCATCATTATTACAACCTGAAAAATAACACTAAATAATCATTACCAGCCTGCCCATTGTACACACAGCCTTGCCATACAACTCCAGTTCTTCCGGTCTCTGTGCTCCCACTTACACCATACAAAAAATCGTGCGCAGACGAATGATTTGGTAAGATAATTTGCGAAGTGTTAGACAATACACGTTCCCAGCGTACCTCTTGAGTTGGCTAAACATTGGGAAAAAAATGCAAATGTACAAAATCTTCTCGTCCATCAGTCCTGTGATACCGTACATGTGCTCGACAAGCCCAGTGCTCGACCGATACTCCTATTTGTGTACGATTTATAAGAATATTGGCTTTATACCGGGAGAAAATTTCGTTAGTTAAACATTAAATCCATACGTAAAACGTTATTAAACCCATGTTTGATATTTCTAAAGACTTTTTATAAAATAATATGGATTTTTGTGTCAAATTATGAAACCCCAGAAAAAAGTAACCAATGAACGAGCAACTGAATATGACTTTTCTTTCGTCGTCAAAATAAGCAAGCCCCAGAAAAATGAGCCAATCAATGAGCATGCTCTGGAGTTCGGGCATCTAATACCTGTACTCCAGTTAGCGCACTGTGCGATTTTACTCTGGCACATTTTCAACAGAAACTATGATACATGTACAATATATTTTAATGCTCATCCATCGGCCACTTTTTTCTAGGGTTTCATATTGTGACAACCGGGAACGTGTTATTATTTTTACATATGATACAAAAGAAAAAGAATATCAGAACACTCGACAATCTGATTTATTCTAGGGGTCACGGTAACGCCCCTGGTACAAATCAGATAGCCTTATGTTTTATTACATACTTCACATTGGCCATTTTTATTACGGCACCAAGCCACCGTGAACCCGCCGGTGAAAGTTTGATCCTTTTCCAAACTGATGTAAACATCGGACATATTGATTGACTCGACTATAAACTGCGGAGGTGCAAGATCTGTAAAAAATCTTCGTATAGTTAAGTACTATTATATTGATACATGATAACAATACTATTACGTTTTAAAATGAAAATGTCAACAGGTTGCAAAAAAATAACCTAACATAGATATACGCCTCAAGTTTGAATTTAAAATAAAAAGGGTTTGTAGATTTAATGCAATATGTGTTCATTGTAACGCTAATTTTCATTGGATAATTATGACGTTTATATTTATATATACAGTCACGGCTGTTATAAATTTGTCTAAGTTTTTTTTTTGAAAGAAAGGATTTTTTCAGCATTAAGACTTTTAATAGGTTTATTTTTTAAGCTTACAACCTGTGAAAAACAACCCTTTTTAATACACATTTACAGTAATACCTCGTCTGTAGCTGGGTATTTTCAGGGTTGAGCTTAGTTTAGAAGTACCGTTGACATTTTTGGCTTGGATGATGACGTCATAGGTTGTGTTGCACATCAACTCAGAGCACCCGTATGTTGAGTTGCTTGGCCAGTCTACTTGTCTTTGTTTCCCTTTGCTACGGAATAAACCCTGGACACTTGTCATCGGACCGTTTTCTTCCTCCTTTTTGATTTGCTTGGTAAGAGAAAAGGTAATAAATGCGAAACGAAAATAAAAGGCGGAAATTAATAAGACACAACAAAGCATATCGCGGAAAGTAATTGAAACTACACTGAAACGTAAATAATGCGTTCAGTTTTACCCTTAACCCGCCAAATTGCTTAAATTCTTTGCCTGCTTCCATTTAGAGAACCGTCTATTTTTAAATCAAGGTGAAAGTTTGAATAAACATAGGCAACAGTATACATACAGTCTGCACAGGTTAGACTGCACGGGTATATATTACACATGTATAGCAGAGATGAATAAATTTCGATTCCAGCATGGTTGGGGTTAAAAAAAAATGAGCCGCGCCACGACAAAACCAACATAGAGGGTTTGCGACCAGCATGGATCCAGACCAACAGTCTGATCAGGATCCATTCTGTTCACTATCAGTTTCTCTACTTGTTAAAAGGTTTAAAAGCGAACAGCATGGATTCTGATCAGACTGCACGGATGCGCAGACTGGTCTGGATCCATGCTGGTCGCAAACCCATTATGTTGGTTTTGTCGTGACCAGAGCTGCATCAGTATTAAGGGTGTAGTACTTAAGTACCAGTACCAGTACTTGGCAAATTATGCAGTACCATTACCAGTACCAGTACTAGATTTTAGCTCGGTACTGCAGTACCAGTACTTTTTTTGGTGAAGTAATTAAGTATCAGTACCATTACTTTTATATATTCATCAAAGTTTGAATAAATACAGTGTCAAACAAATAATTGCAAATATTATTTAGCAATGAAATAAAATCATAATTTACTTTAAAGTAACATATTTACAACTTTATAGTTTATACATACTTTTTACAAACAATATTTAAAACATATATTCATGTCATATCTAATTGTTTAGTAACCAGTCAACTGTATAAATACAATGCAAACATCTTTCATTTAAAACACAACAGTCTTTTGTTGTCTTTCACACCTCTGTTCAATTTATACCAAAGTAAATAACAACTTTTTATGGTGCTAACAATATCACTTTTTTCACTTGAAATGGGATTATTTAGAATAGAAGAAATTGATTAGTGTTTATTTTGCTCTTTTACTAGTAAATACAAAGTAATAAAAGATTTTAATAAGGATATTTTAGGTTAAAGAGTTATTGAGTCTGTTTATCTTAGTTTAATTTTTACTTAAAGTCTTTGGTGCTTTTTATGATGAATACTATGTAAACATTTGAAGGAAGATTGCAGCAAATTATCTTTAGATTTGATAACTTACTTTTTCACAAAAATAAAATATAGTTAATGTAATTTACAGCTTTATTTTATGAGAAAAAATGATGTTATTTTTAATTTTTATCAAAACCAAAAGTACTGGGTAATGCAGTAGCAGTACCACTTTTTAAGACAGTAATGCAGTACCAGTACCAGTAGTAGCAAAATTTTGTAAGAGTAATTCAGTATCAGTACCAGTACTTGCAAAATCCCTGCAGTACATACTGCAGTACCAGTACCAGTACCAGTAATGCAGCTCTGGTCGTGACACGGCTCAAATGTTGATTTTAATCCTAAAATCGTAGGGAATTAGCATCACGGAAAGAACAATCACAAAATGATTTAGAAGCTAAAATAGAAGCTTTGAAAATTTTAAACTGAAGAAAGAAATCTTACTGTCCAAAATACACAAACATGTCTTGTCAGATTAATTCCTTCACACTCCATACGATTGAACCAGTAACCCCCTTCAACGGTTCTAGGACTCGCACTAGGTACTGTAAATTCATAACATGCGCAATAAATAATCAAAACAATAATAAATCAAAGCTTGTGTAATTTACTCCCAAGTACATATTTTCATGCACGAGCGACTAAAGCAATCGTAATTTCTCGGCCCTTTCCGTCAAAATTCGGATACAATCGCAACTTTTCGTCTCTTTCCATACGAATACAGTATTTCGGTCTAACCTACGCGCAAAATAATGCTGGTAGTTGTTGACAATTTTTTTCCCAATATTTCAAGTAAAAGTCAACCTAAAGTAAGTCAATTTAAATACTTTAAATTAAACAATACATTATTTCTATACTTATTATTATTGTTGTAGAATCCGCAAGTACAAAATGCCAACCAAGTCGGATTGTACATCAGTGCATTGGTATAATAATATTTAAATCAAAAATGGTTGTCAATCATAATTGTACCGAAACATACTTTTTTCCTTTGAATATACATTTATTTTACATTATCGAAGATTACACTCTCTGTTGCTGTTTATCTGAATCCACGTTTCACACCGTATTAACTCTGAGGTCATTATGAATAATAGCTGAGGGTGTTCTGAATGCTTCGGATAGTTATGAATAATAGCCACAGAGTACCGATTGCGACTGAAGGTCACACTTGACGTCTGAAACATTTTACTCCCTTACAGACAAATATTTACCTATATGTTTTAAAATGATGCTCAGGATAAATGTTCGATTGAGAGAAAAATAAAAGATTAAATATGCTTCGTCTGTCGAAAATATAATTTTTTCCTCCTCGAATCCTATGCCAGGATGTCGAATTAAGCGTAAATTTACCTGACCGGCAAATTCCTAGAAAAGGCATGGCAAAGACACTGTCAATTTACCGGAAATTACGGTGAATCGAACAGCCTACGGTCCAATATGTCCTCCTCGGCTATTATAGTTCTACATAGACGATAGTCAATTTCCCCTCAACATCAGACATAGACAAAGTTTGCAGAAAATGAAAGAGCTGTGCTACGAACACTGCCTTAATTATAACGTTGGTGTAGACGTGTTTTACAAACGAGGTTCTGATGAAGGATTGTTGTTTTACGACTGCCTACGGTTGACAAAATGATAAAACAAATGAGCCGTGTCACGACAAAACCAACATAGTGGGTTTGCGACCAGCATGGATCCAGACCAGCCTGCGCATCCGCGCAGTCTGATCCGGATCAATGCTGTTCGCTATCAGTTTCTCTACTTGTAATAGGGTTTGTAAGCGAACAGCATGGATCATGATCAGACTGCGCGGATGCGCAGGCTGGTCTGGATCCATGCTGGTCGCAAACCCACCATGTTGGTTTTGTCATGACACGGCTCATATCTTACCGTCAGAATACGTTACAACTTCGGCATTCCTTGGCTCGCTCCAGTACCCCGCATACCTCCCTGTTGGCCTTACTCTTACACTGAAATTATACATTGTGAAGGGATGTAGAGTGCAGATTGTTCGATTACGTCCCAGGAAAGTGTTGAACTTTATCTGCAAAAAAAAATATTTAAAAAAATAACAATATCAACAACAAATGTACAGTATTTACATACTAATTGCATACGTGAGAATGTTTTGTGCAACTTTCTAATAGATTTACTGTCGTATATTTGTCTAATATCTATATGGTGATTAAATTATAAAACATAGTCTACTCTTCAGTCTTGAATATCGTTACTGATAATACTATGACCTTTGACATTTGACCACAACCATCATTACCAAAACTTGCAACAATTGGTAGCATGTGTATCATTACGAAAATGTGTAGCATTACCAATGCTCGTGCAATCTATTTGTTCATCATGTATCATAAACAGTACAGACTTTCCTCTGAATAACGAAAATGATTACTTTCCCATGCCCCGCATAGAAGACTAAAAATCACTATCTCGGACAATTCTTTGATGGAACAATAGAGTTCTAGTACTCGATGTTCGACTGTACAGTGAACATTTCGTTTTCCTTTTCTTATAAATATAATAAATATGAATATTTACCTCTTGTGTGTCATATTTACTGGAAACAACAATTTCCTGATCGAACTCATACAATGTTGATGTCTCCCAAGACACATGGACACACTTACTGCTATACACAGTAGCTGACATATTGGAGACTGGACTTGGTTTCACTGAATGTTAAAAGAAAACCCCAACATCTATAACATGATTTATATGACTTTCTTGCCGGCCACAACATGCACAATTTACTTAATTTCGTCTTGTTGAGTGGCGTTTAGTCGTCAACGAAAACACGACAAAACGCCTGTTTACTTAAAAAATACTTTTGTCGAGTTTTTGCCCCTTGTTAGCGCCAAGTGATACGAATAAATCAAATGAAATTAAGGTTAAAAATAATAAATAGTTAATTTAATTAATTAACAGCAGCATGAAGACCTATACAAATTTCTAGGTTATCCAGTGGAAATCGGCGTTACAAACAAGCATTATCATGGAAGACAACGCAACATTTGGAATGGAATATGTACCTATTTTCGTCGTGTCTTCATAAAAAATTGATGTGACATTTATGCTACATTTATGCACTAAAATTATGCTGATAGTGAGGTTCGAGTCTTTAAAGTATCCGTCCTCCCATTGGCAGAAACCATCCTCAACATTTAGCTTGTTACAGTCATTCCATGATGCAGAATGTGCTGGAATTCTCCTGAAATTTATCAATTGAGCCGCGTCATGACAAAGCCAACATAATGGGTTTGCGACCAGCATGGATCCAGACCAGCCTGCGCATCCGCGCAGTCTGATCAGGATCCATGCTGTTCGCTATCAGTTTCTCTACTTGTAATAGGGTTTGTAAGCGAACAGCATGGATCCTGATCAGACTGCGCGGATGCGCAGGCTGGTCTGGATCCATGCTGGTCGCAAACCCATTATGTTGGTTTTGTCATGGTGCGGCTCAATTCATTTATAAATACTACATTTAATACACATAACCGGTAAATGGCCTTGGTTATGGAAGATGTTTCTTGCTCAAGGAAACAACAACTTGCCCAAGAAAAAGGTTTAAACTCACGCGGCCTGAAGTCCTAAAAATACTCGTCTGACGCATTAACCACTCGGATATGACGTCACTGAAGGGTCTTGTAACATTATTCCAATAAATTGATTTTATGTAATTATGTTATTCTTGTAGCATATGAAGTCCTTATGCAACAGTTTTATATCTCGGATCCGGAGTTAAAACATAAAGTAGGACTAGAACGACAAAAAGTAACTAGAAATCTATTCGTAAACTTGTAAAAAAAGAATATAAGGAGTCAATCTCAAACTTACTTTTGTAACGCAATATACAAATATAGCATTTCATTTTTAACCAATCAACATTAACAATAACAACAACCGGAAACATATTTTCACCTACCATTTAAATATTACTTCAGGCATATTTTCACCATAGTTGTCCCCATAATTCCAAGAACACATCATGTTCGTGTAGTTATGCACTATGCATGCAAAGTCTTTCACATCGACCAGCGCTGAAATTTGCGTAAAGTACATTTAGCAATTACAATGAAACAGTCCGATTGGGTGGGCGGAAGGTGGGGGAAATATTTTGAGTTTGGCATATGTACTATCATTCAAATCATTCACGTCGTATGTTCTTGAAGATTTATCAGTTAAGCATTTACTTACTCAAATTTATCAAAGGATGTTTTCCTATTGGTAATTATGCATATTTCGTCAAATATGCTATAGACTCCTATGCTCCTTGACGTAATTCAAATTTGATCTTCATTTACGCATGATTTTTTGTTTTCTGTATTTTTCTTTGCTTTTTTTTTGCTTTTTTTATTGAAACATATTAGATAACGTTATTGATATATAGTTACGAACGTTTAATCAACGATTTGTATATTTCTCCCATATTTCGCTTTTAATATGATTCAAAGAAAAGAAATTACGAATATTTTAACTTACGAAAAACTCGTGCCATAGAGGTCTCTCCAAGCATCAAGCTGTCATCTAAACTGGCAAAGTGTTCCCAATAATAACTTCTTACATGAAAATAATAGGATGTCCTAACATCCGTGGTGTCAAAGGTTACATTGTTCACGGTGAATTGAGCTGTTGTCTGGTTGATAATTTGTACTCTTGCATCGTCTATTGCAACGTATGTACCGTCTGTACTTGTATTTTTTACACCAAAGCCAATTGAATGGCTCTCGACTGGGTCTTCCAGAAGGGTACTGGTAAAGGTGATGTTCTGTGTTACACATACATCCGGATCTCTCGGTTCAAGACTGCCTTTGAATTTCTTTTGCCTTGATGCTTAACAGAAAAACAATAATGTTAATGACATAAGAGATGTTTAAAGTAAAGCCACAGGGTTATATGAGCTATGTCACGACAAAACCAACATAATGGGGGTGCGACCAGCATGGATCCAGACCAGCCTGCGCATCCGCGCAGTCTGATCAGGATCCATGCTGTTCGCTATCTGTTTCTCTACTTGTTATAGGGTTGGTAAGCGAACAGCATGGATCCTGATCAAACTGCGCGGATGCGCAGGCTGGTCTGGATCCATGCTGGTCGCAAACCCATTATGTTGGTTTTGTCATGACACGGCTCATTAAATGATAGCGAATAATAGATATATTATATTAAATGGAACTTAAAAAGGTTAAAGTAACGTTAAATTTAATTAATGTGTAGTATAGGAAAGTAAAATTGAGAATTGTTGAGAATTGAGAACAGTTCAAGCCGGTGCTAGGGGGGCGTGAGGGATGTTGCACTTTTCATTATCCCTCATGTATAGACTTAATCAAACCGAGTCTGGAATTTTCATGTAATTTTGTTGCTTTTAATGCTTCCGATTGATCACATTTTTCCAGATATTGAAATGAAGTGCAGCTGTAGCCGCCGTTATGATAACTGTTATTTCTAACTTACCCGTTACAAGAATTTAAACAGAAAAAGTGCAAAGAGGTGATATTCAGCGCATTTTATTTAATCCCTACGGTTCAATTTGACACCAAAACTTATCAAGTGAATGATAAATGACTGACGGAACAGAATATTTTTCGAAACATCTGCTATTTTTAGGAATACATTCTAAATTTATGTATTTGTAGTTTGTTATACAGTCACACTTTTTGTCAGATATTTAAAGTGGTAAAATTAATTAAACATTTTACCACTTAAGCAAAATATACATCTTTATGATGACTACTTAATCACATTTCAAATGGTATTAAAATTGCTTAGTGATGTATATAAGTATCGACCGTCATTTTGAACTCCATCTTAAACAGATAGAAGATAAGACAGTATTCAGTATTCAAGCAGAACTAAGTAAACACCTTAAGAACCCTGGACCCTAAAGTGCTTTGATGTGTAGCATATTATCTCAATTTGGATTTTGACCCCAAAGTTCATTTGACCCCAAATTGCCCTGTGAAGTTTACCGCACTTTGGTGTTGAATCCCGTGTCAAGTAGAGTCAAGTGAAATTTATATATAATTAAGTCGGATTCATAAAGCAGAAACCCCAAAGTGCGCTAGACACAAAATAGTTGGAGCAAATAAAATACACTTAAATGACTTGAAGAAGCATTCTGATGCCATTTTTATTCGTACTCTCCTCTAAAAAAAAACAACAAACAAACAAAACTAGTAGTAAACGAACGGACGTTGGACGGACAGATATTTTGGGATTTATGTTCGTTTTTAATTTCATATTGCATTTTTCAATGTAAAACCATAACAATTTTCACTGAAAACACCGATTTATGCGATTTTTTTTCTTTCTAAACAAGGATTATGGTATGGACGAACGGACAATCAACCAACCAATCAACCAACCATTCAACCAATCAACCAAAAAACAAACATTTTTGACAGATCTTTAATAATACAGCAAAACATTGTTACTTACGATGCCAATTCCCTGTAGAAAGTGAAAAGTTAAATGCCACCAACGCTAATAATGCAATTACATCTAGGCCATATAACCCCATTCCTGTATAACAATATAACTGTCCTCTATAAATGAAATACTATCTCCAAACGTTTCTGAAAAAGGAAGAAATATAAAATTTCTATATCATGGTAAAATTCAATTTTTTCTGAAAATGCACGATTACCCCCCCCCCCACCCCAAAAAAAAACAAAAACAAAAAAAAACAACAGAAAACAAACAAACAAAAAACCACACACACACCATCGCTATCAACACAACCAAATAATAATAACTTTCAGTTTAATTCGAAATTGATTTGAGCCGCGAACAAAAAAAATATTTTTTCCAACATGCTATTTTTAAACTGTTTTAAAAATTTTTCTTTTATTGGTTTGGTCCCCCTAAAAAGTGCGTTTAAATTGTTGTCAGCATTTAATTTTCTGGATTCTGCATCAGAAAATAAAAATCAACCATATAACTAGAATCAAATGATTTTATTTCAAGACATGTATCAACCATCATGCCGCCAGATTTGGCTGATGTCTGACATTCTCCCTCGTTTATCTAGATGATTTAGGTGGAGACGTTCAAAAGCATTAACTGGTCATGAAAATACGTTTTTACCGGCAATGAAAAAAAAGAAGAAAAAAAGCAAAAAACCTATCAGGTTTATTTACATCAATGAAATTATAAAACTGTAATTTGATAGTGACTATATAATAATATCTAAAGAATAATACCTACAATACCTAATATAAAACTTGTGCACACAGTTTAAAAATACTGCATTAAAAGTAAATTTAAAATTGAATCTTTCTAGGATAACCTTCTACATCGAACCCACGACATCTGTGTAAATCCTAAATGAAAATAGTATGCAGATGTATGCCAAGGGGCCCTTTGACATAAATAATGGTCGTCAATTTATAATACCGACTAAGATGACTTCAACTTTAACCAATATTTTAGACATCACAGCAAATCCTTTCATATCTGATAGATAGCTGGTCGACAGTTCATTTACATAACTTAAATATTGACATAATGAAGGTTTTTGTACATGAATTAAGGTATTGTGACATTTAAAGGCGGTGTTGCGACATTAAACGGTAAGGGAAACTCGTGTGACATTAAACGTTACATTTGCGACATTTTACGGCAGAAGATTTTGCGACATTTAGCTGCAAGTGAGACATTTGGCGGCGTTGCGACATATAACGGCGCCACACTGTGTTTGTATAAAATTATATAATTGTGTAGATTATGGTTTTGTAATCTAAAACCGTCATCCACATATTTCACCTATTCTTTTTCAACCTTAGCCATCTAATATGGTAAAAGAAACAGAACGTTCTCTTATTTCAATGTATATTTCCATGTAGTTTTTTATGTATATTGTATAAAAATATACAATAAGCAGACATTCAATATTTTGGAATATAAATTTTGCAAGTTCACAAATGGAATGTAATTGAAATTGATAAAAATTTAGTAACTTGACTATGAATAGAAAAACCCTACAAGCACAAATTGCAAATATTCATCCGAGCGCGTTGTCCGGTATATACCGGGAATAAAGTATTTAGTGTGATGCTCCAACTTTACAACTTTAGTCGTTTGAAAAAACTACGGACCGTTTGTTAGGCCATGTCTTTTATTTAATAAAAGCTGTGGTTAATTAATTAAACCCCCCTTCAATCAATATGTAAATAAGGTAACATAGATCAATCCTATTCAATCAATATGTAAATAAATGGTAAACCGGTAACCAAGATCAAACCTCTTCATTCAATATGTAAATATGTGATAAACCGGTTACCCAAATCAAACATATTCAATCAATGTGTATATATATAAGTGATAAACATGTAACCTAAATCAAACCTCTTCAATCAATATGTAAATAAATGGTAAACAGGAAACCTAAATCAAACTTCTTCAATTAATATTTAAATTAATGGTAAACAACTAAACATGTAACCTAGATCAAAACCTCTTCAATCAATATGTAAATAAATGGTAAACAGGAAACGTAAATCAAACCTCTTCAATCAATATGTAAATAAATGGTAAACAGGAAACCTAAATCAAACTTCTTCTATCAATATTTAAATTAATGGTAAACAACTAAACATGTGACCTAGATCAAACCTCTTCAATCAATATGTAAAAAAATGGTAAACCGGTAAGCCAGTTCAAACCTCTTTTAAGCTAGTATCCCACACATTGTTGTTTGTACATACTTGAAATAAAATGTCACCAAAAAAAAATCACCAGTCTCGTACACTTAAATAGAACTACATGGTTAATACATGTCTTGTCCGACAAGAAAAAAAAACATCTTAGTAAAGTTTTCTCAATTTTTATCATGCTGTAATTTTAAATCGTTGCAACGTTTTATTTATTATAAACACACCCGTTAACGTGTTTCAAGCTGATCCGTTGGTTGCGGGAAGAACAGTTGTAATCTTGGCAATTTTTTTATCGTGCAATTAATTGCTGCACAAAATATCATAAAGAATAATGTTTATTAATAGGGAAAAAAAGACGATCGTATCTTGGTATTCCGGTTTAAAACTGATTTAAAACTTACAGTTATATTGTAAGCTCTGCCTGCATCAAGCTGTGCTACTTGCTACATGTTAACAGGTGTGATAAAAGTGGTGTCAAGTGGAACGTACCAACCGTTACATCATGGAAACTGCAAATTTTACTATAATGCATATTTAATGACTGTAAAAAAATATGTTGATGTTTTAGACTCGTTTTGTGTAGGATAGTAGCTTTAATCAATACGAAAATAAGTGAAATCTACCTAGATGAAACCACCTAAATGAATAACATTCTTTTAAACGAGACATACCAATGACCCAGACTAAACTTAAACGACAACTAAAAGGTCAGTACGAAAATATGGAAATGATCAAATCACTTTCTTATATATGTGATCATACGTGCGGTATCGTAAGTCAAATGTTAATCAATACATTATTTCATGGGACGCATGTACCTTGATTTATCCGCCTAATTAAGATAAATTCTTAAACATGTGGTTAAATCTTAAATAAAACTGACACTGAACGTCAATATCAATAAAAAAAAAGTCAACTTTAGAAAGCAACACAATAAGTTAGCATAAAAATTATCCTATTAGAAAAAAAACAGGAAGCAATAATAATAATAATGATGATAATAATAATAATAATAATAATAATAATAATAATAATTATAATATATACCAAACATACCTTTATTACAAATGTGTAATCTTGCCTAAAAGGTTGTTTTCTCAACAAATGATTTTATTATATACCTGTAAGGTTCTCCCTAAAATACACATAAATCCTGAAGCACGAATACGCAGAAACATCCGTATTATATAAGTGACAAACACGGTTCCATATATGGAAGTGACGGACTATTTTTCAAGCTGGTTCCTATCTTAGCTGTGTATTGAAATCCAACCAGATTGCTGCATATCCAATGTGACGTCCTTTTTTCGAAAAAAACTTAATTATAGAGACAAAATTACCTGTTAAGCAATATGAAACATTTTGTACATTTCAACTCTTGCGTATCAGATTTCAGCAAGAAAGTGTTCTGAAAAGCGACAAAAAACACGAAGATGTTTAAGATTCATTTCAAAATCCGCATAAAAGTACATATCAAGTATTCTTGTTATGGAAATGAGGTGATATTATCTGCTATTTGATATGAAACTACTATAATAAAAGTTAATATTTAAAATCAAATAACTTCCCGGAGTAGACTCAAAATTGAAAAGTTTGGATCCCATAACGATTTATATTGAAACATCACACTGTTCAAATACTGACAGTTCACTTCTTATATTCTAAAAGCGTAAAATATAACTAATTATTTTATGACTATAATACCTGTCATTTTATTATCTATGTATTTAGACAAATGCGTGTTATAGTAATAAGAGATGGATAAAATAACGTAAAAATAAATTCATTATAAGATCACAATGTTCACCGTGTATGTTACATATGATAAATAATAAGAATTATTTACTGAAAAAACTTTTGAGAATAAATGCACCTGAAATTCAATCTCTGAGAGATGTGGTAAATGTTTGAGTCAATCTCCGTACATGAGGCTCATATATTGAAGTGAATATGCTTGTTTATAACATTACAAATACAACATCATCTGTGCAATTTCAAAATTTCATCTGTCAATATCTATCTACTTTCTGTTCGTCTCGACAACGGTACACCGGAGGAAATGAAACGGCGCTGCCATAAATTAGGCAACGGTGCATACATTTGTATCAAAAAGAGTACTGTTCAGACACAATCTTTTTATAGTTGTAACATCAAGTTTTCAAAAATATTACAAATTAGCACAATTATCTTCCTTTCTATCAAAATTTTTTATGTTCACTTTAATGGGCATAATGTCACTTTAACCGCGCAGTCTGATCAGGATCCATACTGTTCGCTTTCAGCTTCTCTACTTGTAATAGGGTATGTAAGCGAACAGCATGGATCCTGATCAGACTGCGCGGATGCGCAGGCTGGTCGTGATCCATGCTGGTTGCAAACCCATTATGTTGGTTTTGTCATCACGCGGCTCATATCATGTTACGAAATGCCGACTAAACATTTAATTATTTACTGTGGTATGTAATATAAACCAAAAGTGGCAGATGTTGTCAGTATAGCATGATGCGTAGCTAAATGTTAGAAAAGTGCGACTGTAAATTGAAAACTATATCATGTTCTATTTAATAGTAAATTATGAGAATACTGTCTTAATCTATATTATACTACACAAAGAGAAAAAAAAAACAACAGAGGTTACCGTACCACGCCTACTAAACATAGGGTCTTTCACATTTTAGTGATCTGTTTAAATGAGAACCCTCGACATTTCCGTTGCAGAGCCATCGACCATAACAAAGATAGTTTGTAAAATCATCCGATTTAAAAGAACTTGCCTGTTTTCCAAAAATTGAAGAATGCAATGCCACGAAGAATATTTTACTCATCATTCGGGCGCAGTTTCGGTATTAAATACCACAAAATGACGTTGCTTGAACTTTTACCAAATATAAACTCGTGTGTTTTCTTCCGCGAGGAGACAGATCTTGAGTGATTTCTCTACCAAAAAGTTAATGTTGATCCAGATAATGTTGCATGTAACATTGTGCATACCTTACCTTTGACGCAACACAAAAAATATTTCAAAGAGCTTGGTTAAAAGTTAAATACTTACAATTATTCAAATGTGATCGTGAAGGTGACCTAGCAAGTGTGATGCAGCCAAAACAAACATTTATTTAGTGTCGATATTGTAGAATATTGACGATTTATATTCATAAATAAACAAAATTGCATGAGTTAATAATGACTTACATTCATCAACTGGCGAAAACCAATAAAAGAATGCTAACACACGGACCAACTTTCAAGAAGCAAATCAAATAATCTTGATCAAAGACACTATTTTTGTAAATTTAACATTCTACCCTTGTGAAAACATTAAAGAAGAACATTGAATTTTTCAATTGAAAGTTATCCAATCAGTGATTTAGAAGTTATTGAAAGGTCACATTCGTTTGCGAGAGCTCTTTCACATTGCCGATGGCGCCAGCACCGTGTCGATTGCTCGATCACATTCGATCAAATGCTTATATTTTATATTTAACCAAGCTCTTTGAAATATTTTTTTTGTGTGTTGAGCCAAAGGGTAGGTTAGGATCATGTCTTTGCAGGATAAATTGGACATGCATTTACTGTTCGGTAAAGAAATCACTAGAGATGTGTCTAAATGTAATACAAATGTAGAAAACACACAAATTAATATTTGGTAAAAGTTCTAGCAACGTAATTTTGAGTATTTCGTATCAAAATGGCATGCGAACTGATGAGAAAAATGTTTTACGTGGCATTTAGAAAAAAACAAACATACTAAAAAAACCGGATATTTTAAACCTGTTGTTTAACACTGATGTAAATAATCATGGAGCTTAGAGATCATCACTTGTATGTTGTAATTGACGTTGCATACCACTCTAAAGTGAACTTATATATATGTATATAATTATGTTCATAAAACAATTTTCAAACATCGAATAATATGTAAAATATAAAGCAATACCCTCAGTAACAACCAAATATTTTTCAAAGAATGTATTGTTATACTATAGGCATTGCATTACACGAAAGATAATACATTTGGTGTATTGTACGTATTTGTTTATCATCTCGAATCCATTTCGACTGTAGCCACATGATAATCATCTTCCTGAGCATCACATGAAGTGTTTGTCGTTGCACTAAATGAACAAATAATGTATGAACTAATTGATTCACTGTTTGTAGCTATGTTTGGTGTATTGTCGCCAAAGTCATCGTGTATTTCTCGTATTGCATTACTATTCATTACGATTGGCATATGGTCGGCATTTCCCTCGTGTATTTCATTTGGTGATTTGTTTGTAAGCATGTTTCCAGTATTGTCGATATATGTTGCATTTGCTGCTTCGCTTGATTGTTTGTTTGTATGGACGGCATGGTCTTCGTGTATTTCATCTGATGATTTGTGAGTAACTATGTTTGGACTATTGCCGGCATCATGATCTTGCATTTTTTCCATTGTATTACTAGTAAGAAAGCGTAGAGCATGGTTGTCATGGTTGCAATTGTCATCATGCATTTTACTAGATGCATTGCTTAAAACTAAGTTTGGCGAATGATAACGTACACTGTTATAAGATGCTAGGTTGTTTTCTATGGAATTAGATTCGTGGTTTACAACAGACAGTGTTTCATTTGATATATCTCTAAACACCACGTGTGCTTTGCTCTCGTCAACATTTCTATAGAATAGTCCAGGTGATGAACTACATGAAACATGGAATTGTTCTTTGTCGAATGTTTCAAGGTAGCTTTCAGATACTGAATTTCTGATGACGCCATTAACCGAAAAGTTTGAACTATCGGTATCCATTGAAACTGTTGACTCTCTTGGCATATCTATGTTTGGTTCATTCTAAAATGAAAAATCTCTCAGTAAATTTGAAAATTACCCTATGTTAAATTTACTCTTTCATATCAACTATTGCTGTTTCGTAAATTTTTTATGTGTCAAAAATAATGATAACAGAAAATTCCTACTGCCGTCGGATGTTTTTAAATGTTTCTTATTGTACTTATATTTTGTATTTTCAATTTAAAACTATCAAGATAGGGAAAAGGGTCAATTATACCCACACAAGGAATTGTTTGATAGGCGCCATTGTAAGAACATTTTTTATAAGCATCATAGGAATTGTTAACACTTACAGGACTTGAATTATAGTGATCAAATTCTGGAATAGTTATTTCTTTAGCCTTTTCAATTTTATACATAGCTTTCTTTTGGCATCTCCTGGAAACATTAAAAAAACAATGCTTCAATTAACATTACATACAGCGTTATATATGACATGTACATTTATATTTGTGTATACGCATGGATTCGCGTATATGAGTTAGAATATTCATTTCTTTAACATTTAAAAACTTACCAAAGCGTGCATCACTGCTATAACTTACGTTTTTTTGTATCGTCATATAAGTAAGGAGTGGCACAGTATTATTATAGAATTGATACATACTCTTTAAATGGTTATACGACCTTACATAACTGAATGCTAACAGATCGGGTTACATAAGTTTGCAACCGTGTGCATATTTTCAAGCATTTTTTATTAGATTACTACATTTATATATAATTTCTGCATGTAATTTCACGTGAGAATACAATTTCAGATTGACTTTTAAAGTATTATGATTTTAAAAGTATTATTAATTTTTTTATAACAAAAAGAATGTAGAGAAAAATTATATTATTGTTTTACCATATTATGCAATAGCAGGCGACTACCATGGTAACAACAGCAGCAAAAATTCCCAGTGATAGACCAATTATTGTTCCTGATCTGAAACCTAGATAAATGAGCCGCGTCATGACAAACCAACATAATGGGTTTTGCGACCAGCATCCGCACAGTCTGATCAGGATCCATTCTGTTCGCTTACAAACCCGGCTGGTCTGGATTAATGCTGGTCGCAAACCCATTATGTTGGACTTGTCATGACGCGGTTCAAATCGATCTTGTTTACTTATATACCACATAATAATTATTTTGCTTTTCAAATTTAACTTGTTATTTCATCGCTATTGTCTTAAAGTTCTGTCAGATTATCATTTTTAGTATTATCTACAAATATCTGTTTTCTTTAAGAATTTTGGTTTTTTTTATAAACTATTTTCACAACGGTGTCCGTACTCCCAGAGCCTGAAAGGGCGTCTGGACCCCCATTACGCATATAATACATAAATACACACTATTTTCAGAAACATTATATTGCAAAAAATTACCTTTAAAATGAAGTAGCTTTAAATAATACACCTTGATGTAACACACCTACCGTAATGTAATGGTATTCCAGACAAGGGTTGGCTTCCTGGTCCGTAACGCCCATCTTTTGTCACTCCCCTGACTTGTACAACATAAGTTTGATCCTCTACAAGATCTTCAAGCAGAAGTCTGGCTTCTCCTAAAGCTGTTGTGTTTTGTGCTAAATGAAAAAAAATGTTTATTAAAAATAGATAAGCATATATCAACTGGGTTGTAATGCCTTACATTTGTATTTGTATACTACGGTGTTCCGTTAGGGCCAGTGCGTTTTCTTCAAAAACGAAAATCGCAAAGCACGACAGTACCACTGTACGATGGCGAAGTGCGACTTTACGATGGTGTCAGTACGATAGTGCGATGGTGACAGTACGATTACGTCAGTGCGATGGTGACAAAACGACACTACGATAGTCTGTCACCATCGTAATGTTATACTTTGCAATATAACAGTCGTATTGCCACCATCGTACTGTTGTGCTTCGCAATCTAACTGTCGTATTTTCACCATTGTACTGTCGCGCTTTGCCACTGAACTGCCGTTCTGTCATCATCGTACTGTCGTACTTTGCGTGTTCATTCTCAGAGAAAACGCGGTGGCCCCTCACTGAATACTGTATTATACTTGCGTTTTTTGCGCGAATTTAAATGTTTCTTTGTTTCTTTTTTATTTGGTTTTGCAAACCCTTGAGCTTATGTAATGATACATATGCGTTTTGAAGTCAGTTTTTTGTATATCTTTTGTCTGCATGACAGGAAATACACAAAACTACACAAAAAGACCATGTATTATGTATAGAAGAATGTATACCTGCTAGGGACAGGACTGGAGACAATTGTGGTGGACCTTTTGTCGGTAATAGTTGGATTCCGAAGTATATCATATGGATTTTAAAATATGGCATAACGGTATACATGGTTTATGTATCACTTAAAGTTACCACTTGTCTGACTAGTTTAAGGTTCGAATCGTAATGAAACATTGCGTTTATGTTGTTGTTTTTTTATCATATTTTGCGAAACTTGACTATAAAGTGTTTATGCATGCCAATCACCCATTGCACGACAGTACAAATTGAATTTATGAAAATTTACACATACATCCTTATATCAAAGTAATGATTTTTTCAAAGAAAAGACACAAGAAATTAAAGAAATGATTCATCCACTAATTCTGCATATAATTTAAAAAATGATTAAAGAAATCTGAAAAAAGGTTTGTTCAGGATTCGAACATGTTTGTTATTTTGCACTTGCTATGCTATAATACTTACTACTAGGACATTCGTATGAAATAAAGCATCGAGAACATCCCTTTCATTAAAAATCAATAAGTAAATCGTAATAAATTACAGAAACTAACGAAAAAGCTTCCGAAAATTAATAAGTCTTAGGTTAATATTGCAAAATCTAAATTTCTATGCTAACATTTTTGCAATCCGTCTTCTAAATTCATGTACAAAACATTGTATATAGCAATATACGGTTCGCCCGGTTTACAGTTCAGTTTATCCCAGGAAACTAAGAGCGAGTTATCCATTGGTCCATTTGCTATTACCACGTTGCCAGGTTCCCTACTTGGCTCTGAAATAAAAGAAAACAAGAAGTAACTTTTACAAAAGATACTCAGCTGAATGCAAAAGTATGTTATTTTTAAGTTTTCAATTTAAAAAGAAATGATAACAAATACCGAAATAATGAAACTAGAAACTTCAGAGTAACTGCACATGTCCGGGCAGCCAATTGTTACATTATGAGAAGTATCAGATATTATTTATTTTTGAGAAAATGTGAGTTTCCCAGTAAAGACCCATTGACGCAATCAAGTTTTTAATTAGAGTAGTCATTTCTTATTTTGTGGTGATCTTCCTGGGTGTTTCCTGGACATTTATTCGATTGTGTTACCGGAAAATATCAGTAGTATAAACAGGAAATTATCCCGAGGTATCTCAGGCTACCTCATATAAAATATTTTCTCACGTGTACTAAATATAATCTCATGATAAAACTGTAGAATATAAAAATTAATATTTTTTATTTATAATTTAATTTAACAAACTATACTCAATTTCAAAAGAAAGTGTGCACTTGGTAACTTTGAAGTTCTGTATACGAGCATACATGAGCAAAATAGTGGTAAATTTAATAACAAAATTTACAGATTGTATTCACCATACAACGGTTTAATTTTTTTTTTTAATTTGATAATTATCAGAGTTTTCATTTCGTGTAGCGAACAGTAAAAGTTGCAGAATTGTGATTTTTAACACTTGTTTGTCTTCTTACGTTACCACTAATTAGTACCTCGAGCTCATGGATGGACCGATGAAAGTTTTCGAAACGAAGTTTTACACCGCCATATGGGCTTGGATTTGAAAAAAAAAACCCAAAGGCAAAAATGCATTTATAAAAGGCACATATCTGCAACTTTTATTACCCATCCCTCACCTGACTATACGCCTACAAAGTCCTGGTTATAATCAAACTTCAAAACAATGTGAATCATCATAAAGTTAATACATTTCTGTAAATTGTTATACCAAATATGACAAATATTTTGCTTAAATAAATATACAAAACTTCCCTAAAATCAAGTGCACTCTTTATTTCGCAACTCAGAATAGAAGTCCGCGTCTAGTCTATAACAAATGTTCCTGATGTACAGTGCGTCATGATATTAGTAATGTAAATTAGTATGTTGAGATCCCGTACACATATTTCATATTCAAATCCGGTGAATCCATTTGGGTCCCTACAATAGGGTTGACCCCATTTATTCTCCCCGCCCAAATGATCAATATGGGCCGGGAACCATCCCATACTGACCTAACAAAATAATGTTTGGTAAACATATATATACAGAAGTTATAAATTGATAAATTCATGATTACCTTGGCACCCTAGATGATGGCCCCTTTTTATTGGATAAAATAAGGTTATAAAAAACGAGGTGTATTTTTCATTTTACATATATTTTTTTTAAATTTCCAAATATGACAAACCTTTGTGTTTGGAATATACGCATTCCTGCCACTCTAAACCACTACTTCTCTCTTCCGACACTGCACTAACACCATACAAAAAGTCTTGTGGGTTTTCATTTAACTCAAGCTGTACAATAACCGGCTCTGTGTCCCAAGAGAATGTTTTCCACTGGACTTCAGAGTCACTCTATTTAAAAAAAAACAACATTTTCTTAAATTAATAACATTTTTTTGATGTAGATATTATAACGTCAATTTTGATTGGACAATCGAGACGTTAATAATTTCTATGTACACAAATATTGCAAATTTATTCAATATCATAAATCATATATTAAAATGAAATTTGGCATATGGTCAAACTCCTACACAGTGACCCCGCTTTGCTTCTCTGCACATACCACTGTACTCACAAAGAAGAAATATAATATTATGCGGATGTGTTCGGTCATGTACGCAACAAGTGGTTAGTGAAGCGAATGTTAAATGAACGTTTTATGTCTAAACAAATTGAAAAACCGAAACAAATTGAACACTGGCAATATGTCATTGCTGGAATATGTCATCGTATCTGCCACTAAAAACTGTTTTCTTTGTCGTAGCTTCCATTTCGAAGTCAAGTGCTGTTTTCTACGGTCACTTGATATTCTGATATTATCGAAACATGAATGTGACACCTGTGCCAATCTTAGGCTTGTTTATTTTATTTTTCACATGAATTAAAAAAATTAAAGATACAATAAAGAAAATATTTCAGACTCCGAAAATTTAAACGACCAAATAATGCGCGGTTTAACATTTCGCATTCTGAGTACTGTCTGTGTCCCGGCTCAATAAGCGATGAAATCTCGTATTGCTTGGACAATAAGCAATATCATGAAACGAATAGTAGAATAGAATAGAATAGAACGGAACGGAACAAAATAGAATAGTAAAGAATCAATGGCCTTTACAGGCATATAATCATAATACTGATATTGTACAAGATGTAAAGCACATTATTATGATTAGCAAACACAAATAACAAAAGACTGTAATAATACGAAACTAAAGCATATTAAATGAAAACAGTGAATAAATTCTTATTTTTTTTTAAATTTGAGTCTAGATGAAAAACATTTTTGGACAAAGTTTGCTACCGTATCATAATGCAAGTTAAAACCATCTGAAAGGAAATTCAATATACATATTATATCGGTTGACACCGGAAAATAACAAGTGTACATAAAAATGTTTTAATTGCCGGGGATATTTGTTTACGTTCTGTGTCTGCAATTTTTACTTTTTTGAGACTTTGGTAAATAAGATTTTTTTTTTCATTCATGTGGAAGTTTAATCGAAATTCGTTTATGATTGAGCCCCACTTGTATTAAAATGTAATAAGTTTCAGAGTTGAAAAGGGAGGAGCATGGTGGGATCGGAGTCTGACTACCGAGTGTCGGTGAATTAAACCACCGTGAGCAGTTTTGACATAAAACTGTGGTTTGCTAACAAAAAATATATCGAGGTTTCATGACCACTGTTATATCAACATTTCTAGGGCGGTTTTCTTATCATTTAATAGGCTTAGCCATAGATCTATTTGTACGCCTTTAAAGGCACATAATGCTACAGAAATGAATAAATATTTACTTCTTAATAAAAGTCTAACATGAGTTTTAATAACGTTTAAATAATAGATAGAAAGCATGTTAGATGCTTGTTACATGAAGAAAATAGCGCTAAATGTAAAAAAATCATAATGGTAGCAAAATGTAAAAAAGTAGTATATTTACTTTCATACAAAATATCAAATCACTATAAATGTACCAACTGCCAAGAAAAACAGAAGAATAATTGGCCAATGAGTAACTTGTTGGAAACTATATAAAAATACCTTTTAGAAATTAAAATGAAGCACTTCTAGGGCAAAATGGGCTTTTAATGTGATATAAAAATATCACAAATAAACACAGTTTATAAAAACACATGTTTCGCTTTAATAGACTTCATCAGTTGCCCAGCTGCCTCGTGCAATATTTCTTTTCCGTGTAGGATTTCACCTTGCCTATTTGCATAGTTATACAATCAAGTAGAATGCGTCCATGACCGACTTATTTGTAACCAACGTACTTAGTAACATATAATGTATCAAGTTTCCCTTTAAAAGCAAAGCATTCCTTGTTACGGTACAACACATCAATCTTATTTCAAAGTTCAAGGTTATTTGTTATACCTGACAGTCACCATTGTGGTTATGACACCAGGCAACCAGGGCGCTGCTCGCTTTCGTGGTTTCGGAAGGTTTTAAGTTAAAGTATAATTTATTCATGATATCCGCCTCCACGTAAAATGCTGGTTGCGACATACCTGTATTGTAAAATAAAATAATATAGTGTAATATAATATATATACATTATATGTAAATAATGTTTGAAGTAATTTTTTGTGTGATTGAAATATTTTGATACATTGTACAAACAAGATATGAGTAATGGATACTAGTCAAATAGGACTTAAAGGTTCACGTAAAATAGTTTACTTTGACTTTAGGCATATATGTAAAAAAGGACTTAAGGTATACAAGTAAAATAGGAATTAAGAGGTACAAATAAAATAATATTCTTTGACTTAAGGGATACAAGTTAAATAGGACTTAAAGTATACAAGTAAAATAGGACTTAAGGTATACAAGTAAAATAGGAATTAAGGGATACAAATAAAATAATATTCTTTGACTTTAGGGATACAAGTAAAATAGGACCTAAAGTATACAAGTAAAATAAGTATTAAGGGATACAAATTAAATAGGACTTAAGGGACACAAATCAAGTAGGATTTGAGGAATACAAGTAAAAATGGA